CTTTTGGTTCAGTTGATTTGAAAAAAAATGTTTGGCTTAGCCCTGTAAAATAAAATCCAATCAGACATCATTCAATGATTTTTCAGGAAAACGTTGGAAACAAATAATGATTACAACAAAAATGAAGGAGCGACGGCTGCATCTACATGCACAGCTGCTGCCAGAAGATGTCAATATTTAATCTCCAACAGCTAATAAATACTTGATTGTAAAAAAGTAAAGACAATCTAATCACTTAGATATATTTCAATTTGATATACTACATCATAGTCTTCCCCAAAGTAATTATTTTAACCACTGGCTTAATATTTTCCAAAATTAAGAAAGAACAAATTACAAGGGGTACTTATTAAGTTCACTTTTCATTGATAGTGAAAAAATGCAAATTCAGGAAACATGAATAAAGTCTTGGATTTCGTTAGTGGACCACAGAGACAACATTACATCCAATGTGATCTCAGGACCCCCATTAGGGGTTGCTAAAGCTTCACAGGGGGTCGCAAGGCCTTCTTAATTTTTAAGGTGTGTAAGAAAACTTTAAAAAGTATACAGAGTAGGCCTATATTTCAGCAATCTGGGGCAAAAGATTTATTGACCAGACAATCACCATCCATAGGCCTCACAGCCTGAGATGAAGAAACATGGCATATATAATCCATAATAAACATTTTAATGTTGCAGATTCTTGTTTAGAAGCCATTTGTAAAGTGGCAAGGGATAGCAAACTGGACTAAGCTGTGTGTAATCTACAGCATGCAATGTAGAATATTGAGTCAGTCAAGCTTCCTTCTGTCCAGAACATTAAGCGTATGAAAAAAAGTACTTTTAACAAACCTTTGTTAATTAGCATAACCTGTGTTGTTTCACAGTGCTGTTGTGTCAAAAAGTTAAAGTTTTTTTCATGAGTGATGTATTACTTAATGTACTGTAAAGAATACATTTTATGACCTACAAGTACATAAAACCAATTATACTCACACCATCAACTCTAGAGTTGTTAAGTGAGAGAATTATATTGTTTCAATTGAGTCTTTTGTAAATTAAAATCATTAAGGACTGTTTTAAATTGAGTTTATTGTTCATTCTTAATGTACTGCTTCCCTCTGTCTGTGCCTAAGCGAACAAAGAGGATCTATGTTATGTTCCAGAATACGTAACATTAGCAATATTCAGCCATTTACAGTTTTAAATAAAGTCTTATTTATTAGGTAGTATTGTTCCATGTGTTATTGTATTGTTTCTCCTCTCTCTGTCTCAGTAAACAGTGGAGGTTGTGTGCAATCATCTACACAACATAACCTGAATAACTCCAGTCATGTTAGCTCTGTGCTGGCATTAATCAGAGCCTGGCGTATTAATGAGAGCGCGGCAGCTAGCTAATTACACCCATAGATTCTGCAGCAGCCCATTAAATATACAAATGACAGAATTAAAGAGCCCAGCCTCTTCTGATTAATCTTTAAATGGGGAAAAACTAATGATGTCTGTGCAAACTTTCCCTTCACACATTTCTCCCCCTCTCCTCTCAACGTCAATGCCTGGCAATCAATCATATTAATTAAGGAAAAATAATTTGTATCATTTAACATTTCCCTCTTTCCTGCTCAGTTGCTGCAGTGGTGCTGCAGCAATGTACTGTATTAGACGTGTCTGGAAATTATCCAAGTCTATTTGTTCCTGCATTCATTTTTTCTTCTTTTTTTTTCTCTCCTAAACTATGTTTGTGATGTTTCATCTCTCTTAATTTACTGTGAGTTATAGAAATACATCTGGATTAGTGAAAATATGTGAAAGCCATCATCCTCGTTCCAATCGGCCCATTTCATGCTCAAATACTGAAGAATTACAAATGAGGAGAGAGGACTATAGGATCTGTCCTGAACCGATATCCATTTAAACAGATTATCGAATAATATCGTATTTCACTTTAAACTGAGATGCAAAGTCCTCAATTCAAATAGGAACAAGGAGAGTAGGAAGTCACATTGTAGGGCTTTAAAAACAGAAACATTACAGATAAGATGTATGGACTAACATGCATTTATGGAAACAAGCACTTACAGGGTATTCATAATCACAGCATGATTGTATATGGTTATAGTCCTGTTTTATCTAAAGTAAGATTCAGTGTGGTAAATATTGACCTCAAGTGCCCTAAATTCATTCAGCATTAAGAAGCATCATAAATCTCAAGTGAGCAGACTTATCATTTATGGAAACATCCACTTCTATCACATCAATTGTACCTGGAAAACAACCTATTTGGCCAAAAATAATGTAAGTGGTCATAAAATTACAGGTGAAAGGGCAAATTTCATGTGATTTTACATGGTAAATCTTAATCTTAACTACGATTGAACATATTGGCCCTGCTCAAAGATGTGCCCTTAATTCTCATGTTTAGGAAATGAGAAAGCCTGCAGTACGAACCTCAATGAACAATTTATGGAAACAACATATAATTAATATCCCTATAATGGTGCATAATGTTGATGGAGAAAAATGATGATGTGCTGTTTCCATCAATGTTGGCTGGGGTTGAACCCCATATGCAAGTTTTCTCAAGACAAACTGTATTTCAACGCAATGCATAATCAAAATTTTGGCTTTCTTAAATATGAAACATGAAAACAGAAAAGAAGAAGAAAATTTACAATAGTCATTGCTGGAGTTACTAGCTTTCCATAAGACATCAACGATTGACGAGTCTCTCCTCTGTGATCAATTGACTCTCGAGGGGGCATTACACTGCATTACATTCATAATCCAATTTGGCTTTGATTTGTTCGCTGTTCCATACGCTTCGATGGGAATAATTGTCTGTAGATGATGCTATTAGTATTGATGGTTGTGAAAGGGCGATGGTTTGAGGACTGCCGACACATTCATGGTCCAGAATAGATCCGGTCTAAAAGTGATGTCTGATCCATTACCCTTTATGAAGGAGGAGAGCAGAGGAGATGAGAGGCACCCCTCAATAGCAAAAATCATCATCTATTTGCCTGCAGTATTCAGAGATATCTATTTACCTTCGTGCTGAAGGAGGATGGATAAGTCAAATAATCGAATATGTTGATTTGGTATAAAAACACAGTGTCCTAAGAGAGCAATGAACCTGGGAACCATGAGTAAAGATGAAGAATAAGAGGTAGGACAGCTTTAGGGATTTCTTACCATTTAACCAGAAATGGGTTTTTTCTGATTTGCATTAAGACAACCAGATGCTGTTTTAACATTTAGCTCTGAAAGAACACAATTTAAAGAGTTATAAAGTGGCCCATATCATTTTATGGAAGTCAGTTTGTAGAGGACGAAGAGGTCAGAAATGTGCTCAAATAATAACAATATCTGATCTGTAATCTACATTATTAAAGGTTTGCTTAGTATGCATGCTCTGTTTCTGCCACACCTTTTTCACATTCCTACAGTCAAACATGTTTACAATCACATCCATGAGAACAAGTTATACTGAGAAAGGAGTTTAAAGAAGGGAGGAGCACACAATTCAAAAAAGTACTTCAACATACAAAGTATTTAAACATATTTATGACTACCAATAGTCATAAATTGACTAGTGTGGGCAATGTGAATTTCTTTTTATGCTGAATTACAAAAAGGTCTACAAAAAGTCAAACATATTTTTATTTTAATAAACATAATTTCAAGTCATTATCTTTGGTTATATTTGGTTCGGTTGGATTACTTTTTAATCGTTTAGGGAGGCACACCTCGTCTAATACACTCTTTCATTCTTTATCGATGTATATGTGACCTTCAAAGGGCCTTAAGAAAAACAATATTTTCTAATAACCACTCAGAGATGTATGGAAATTGTTGTTAATCCCTCATTAAAGCAGATTGTTTTTAGTGAAGTTGAAAACACAAAAAGTGGTCACTCGTTCTCCTCCCTTTTTTAAACTTATTTATTTTGCTCCTTTTGATTCTAAACTCTCATTTGCTGAAAGGCCACTAAAAGCTTACACTTAAATCGGCTTACTGCCATACCACCCTGAATAGTCCTGAACTTGTCCGATCTTGGAAGCTAAGCAGGGTCAGGCCTGGTTAGTACTCAGATGGGTGACTGGCTGGGAATACCAGGTGCTGTATATGGGCGGTGTAATGGTCTTAGGGCTATAGCTCAGGAGGTGGAGCGGTTCATCCACTAATCAGAAGGTTGGCTCCTCCGGCTGGGGTCTTTGAGCAAGACACTGAACCCCAAATTGCTCCCAATGCTGTGTCATCAGTGTGTTAATGGTTGAATGTGACATGTAGTGTAAAGCCCTTTGAGTGGTCAGAAGACTAGAAAGGTGCTATATATGTGGATTTACCAAATCCTGTTTTTATACACTGACATAATGTTGGGCTATAAGCTTACATATTTCAGATCTAAAATGAACAGTACATGGAACCCCACTTTGTGAGTGGCAAACATTCTAGTATTTTTGATGGGACAAGACCAATGCAGAGAGCTTTGTTGACTCAATTATGGTTGATCACATAAGGATTACACAAAGTCAGGAGTTTGTCCACCGATGTAAATTCATTTAGGAGATTTCATCATGCAGTTTTAACATGGCTTGAAAAGGTTGTCTCTATGACACAGAGAGACAAAACTGATGATACGAGGTTTGTGCAGGACAGTGACGTAATCTCAAGTGGCATCGAAGAGCTTTGCCCGCTTAAATCCCACTGATTAGTATCAGCAGTCATTAATTATGAGCGTCAGACTGGGTGATGTTCTCAGATGAAGCAGAACATGTTTGGCTGTGCAGCTCAACCCTCTAATGATGCTGGTAAACAGAAAGATAATTGTCCTTTAAGATGACTGGGGAAGTCAATCTAAAGGAATGTCACTAGAAGACTGAGAGACTGCTGAACAACATACAAATATACCAACAAAATGTGTACACATACACACAAGTACAATATATAGCAATTCAGACAGACATGCTGCCCATACACACACAGGTATCTGCATGTAGCCAGACATTTATTCTTACCTGTGAAGTCAGTGTTGACAGGTAGGGTGTCACTGGGAAACTGGTAGTAACTGTTTCCTGGGAATCTGGTTCCCCTGATCACAGGATCTTGTGGGTCAGAGAAAGAGACGTCTGTCCTCTCCACCTGGAAACAATGAATGAATTATGGGAATGTCATTACTTTTCCATATACAGTATTCAGTGATAGAATTAGACCTGATAACGGCACTAGTCTAAAGTAAAGGGATCACCAAAGAGATTACAATTCACCCTAAGGGGGACTTGAACGTGTGTAGCAAATTTAATAGCAATCCATCCAATAGTTGTTGAGACATTTTACTCAAAGCCACAAATGTCAACTACATGGTGACAGTGGATAAAAAGTCACATTGTCACCAAAGTCATTAGGATTCTTCGACTGGGCTTCATATACATCCGTACAAAATGTTGTGGCAATCCATCTAGTAGATGTTGAGATATGTGAAAACTTTGAGCTGCTGCAACAAACAAAGCCAATTGACATACACTGTATTTAAGCTAATATTCTTACAGACCTGATATAGTGGATGTGGGCCATTGAGTTGGGCTGGGGGATCCCAGTCTATTCGAATGGTGGTTTCATTTACTGGATGTAATTGAGGTGGAGACAGTCCTGTTGGAGCTGAAGAGAGAAAGGTAGAAAATAAGAGACTGAATGTCAACGTGAATTCCCCATGTTACAGGGACTGTACATTTTGTAAATAGCTGCCCACTACGGAAAATATGTACATCAATTACGTAAGTTAAAACCCCAAAGGCTGTGGTTTTAATCATTCATAAAATTATTTTGTGATCTTGATGTTTTTTTCCAGTAGAAAAATATCATCAGCTAATTTCTCTCATATCTACAGTATGTCTAGAATAGACATACAGTAGTAGAAAGTCCAATTTTTATTAAATAGCGGGTCAATTTAATTTCCTTCTTTCACTTTAGATGTTAAATTAAATGTCCCTTTGAAACATACTCGGAGCTACTGGAGCCACAGCTTCAACATGTATCATGAGAGGAGATATATAAGAACGGAGAGAGAACTATAGCAAGTGATGGACTGGTGTAGAGATGGGAAAGATGTGTGTGCATTAAGTGTCATTCCATCATTGTATTTCTGTGTGTATGTATGTGTATGTATGTGTGTGTGTAGGTGTGTTTCAGTAATGGTCTAAATGGTCTGTGGTAGAAGTAAATTAGCTCTCAGTGACAGGCATGCGGACCATCTTTAGTGTGAGTTCTAATAGAGCTCTTAAAAGGGAAGTGGACAGCTTGTCTTAGGCGGCTCATCTTGGCACATCAAACCATAAATTACTGCCAATCGATAGCTTACCAGTCTATTGAAATTGAGCTATGGTGACATTTAGAACACTGACTGTGCCACACACATACATACACGTACAAATGTACCCTGTTTGATGTGTGTAGTGCGAGAAAACAAATCATTGTTTTTGTTTAGCCAAAGTCTGCATCAGTGTGTGTCTGTGTTTATGTGTATGAATGGCAGATGATTAAAAATAAGGCAGGTAGATGAAAATGCAATAATTGACTGCTTCAAAATTCCAGTCAAAAAACTGCTTTGGCATTGAATATACTTAAAATGGGAAGTGCTTGTATGTGACATTCTGTAAGAGACAGTTATCTTGTGAACAGCTAAGCTTTGCAGTATCTGTACATGATCTGAACACAAGCTTCTCACTGCATCAGAGGGCAAGCCAGGTTTCCTGGGCTTCTGAGTGAAACCCAGTGGCAAAATGGACCACGCTCCGCTGGTTTTGAGGTTTGATCAAACTGGACTGACCTCAGTGAACTGGAGTGTCCCTGGATGATGTCTGACTGTGAGACTGCAATGTGACTGAGGATATTATAACTGATTCACTCACATCAGTTAACACGGAAGTGTGTGTACTTTTCTACACAAAGAAAGATTAAACTGGAAAGGTTTAAAACTATAAGGAAACATAGTTTGTCTACTCTTTCTATATTTCTCCAATTCCCGTTCTATAATGTAGGTGAAATTAATTAGATTTTTCCCCCCTTTAACAGATAAATCATGATCATGTACATGTTCTTCCTACTAGACTTTTGTGTCTGATCAGTGATCATTTAAAAGTGGGTGAATAGGCTTAACGCAAAAAGCCAAATTGATTTACCCGTGTAAACGTTCTTTTAGTCGCAAACAAAAACTCCAGAGTTGTTCACATAGGGTCTTTCAAGTCGATGGGAACATTGTCCATTACACCCAACAGTGTAACATCACCTGCTAGCTTTAGCAAGGTGTTTTTTTGGCATCTAACTTCATGTCAAACCATTTCTTCCTAATTTATATCACAGTACAGATGCAATGACACAGCAGTGACAACTTTTCTTATTTTGTGGGTGTCCTGATAAATCAGTGTAATAAATGTATGATTGTGTGCTGTGTGAAATTGTTGAAACGAGCAATTTACGAACCACTGAAAGAGCAAGCATCTTGGAAAAAAAAAAGATTACTGATTTAGAGTAAAAATATAAAAACATGTTATTGCAGCTTTCCTCCCTGTTGATCTGTGGGATTCGAATGTCGGACATGTCATGTATTCATTTCTTGTATCTCCTTGTTATTCCACTGAAACATACAAAACACTATGACACATTCAGTTTGACGAAAGCCACTTGCCTTATCATGTGTGTGCTCAAACACGCATGTACACCCACACACAAGGTTAACAGTCCACCAGAAAGGTTAATTTTAGCTGCTGACATGGTAATGAAGCAGCTAAATCATGGGCCAGCTCCCAGGAGCAATTGTGCATGTGTGTGTGTTTTCTGTTTTTACAGCGACTGACATGTCTTAACAGGCTCTTAGCGTACAGTTACACCACGCACACAAGCACACCACTTATTGACATGGCGATCCCTTGCTATGCATATTTCTCTCCTCAAGAAGGGCCTCAGGCCAATTATGCGTAAATCAATAAAGTTCCTGTTCTGTTGAGTGGTGTTACAGTGTGAGTGTGTATGTGTGTATGTCTTTCTGTGTGTATGTCTTGTAGAACAAGCTTTTATGGATGTAGGATACATAAAACATCACCATCAGCCCCTGATTAGCCACTCACTTTACGTCGTGATCGATAACTTTGTGGAAAGAGACACACACATTGAAACAATTGCAAATGCATCCACACACGGACAAAGAGCACGTTCCTTGTGTCATTACGTCTGTCTCAGTGTGCACACTAATGTTCAGTCATGTGCTTTGGTGTAATTCCAGTGGTTTCGCAGATGCTGTCTGCTCACTTACAGCAGATGGTAGCTGGCTCTAATGGCCCAGCCTTATGTGTGGCAGATTTATCAGTGCATCAGTACCACGCTCAAGTACACCTTACCAGGAGTACCATTTAATGTGAGGATAATTTCCTCCACAAACAGTTTCGTTCAGGAGATATCACAATGTTCATTCGCTTTCTCCAAGTTTTCAGTTTCTTTATTAAAACTGGGGGTTAAAGAGGCTACAATTACAAAAGGTCTGGTGTGTAACATTTAGGAGGATCTATTGGCATAAATGGAATATAATATTGATTGGTTTTAATTATTGTATAATAACCTGAAAACAAGAATTGTGTTTTTGTTACCATATAATGAGCTGTTTTTATCCACAGAAAATGTGGGTTGCCTACCATGGAGTCCACCATGTTGAACTGCCATGTTTCTACAGTAGCCCAGAATGATCAAACCAAACATTGGCTCTAGATAAAGATAAGTTTTGCAGTGTTTTGATGGGTGAGGGTGGGGCAAGGGGATGCAACTGCATAACTAGATGCCCACTTACTGGTCCTTTAAGGGATTACATATATGCTTATTATTATACATTCAGCTCTGTAAATTTTACATCAGTAATATAATTTATTATAGAAAAATAATAAGGTAAGCGATTGGGTAGCATATTAAAAAACTTATTTTTTGTTCAAGGACTAAGATTTGTTTGGATTTCTCTCTGCAGGATAAGAATGTGTACAAGAAGAGAGGAAGAATATTTTTGTGAGGAAAACAAGGGTTGATTTGAGTTTTACAGGCAAAACGTCTGATTCTGAAGACAAGAGGACACATAAAACTAAACTGAAATGAAATATATGTTGAAATTATGACCAGACGAAATCAGTTGAAGATACTTAGACTTCTAAGGCTGTCTGTAAGAGCAGAAATCCGCATAGAAAAGTTTAAAACACTGTAGTATGATTTGTAATATGGTTGACTAAAACTTCAATAGCTGTAAAAATGAGCAAGAGCATGTAAAACATTGTATGGTATTGTAAAGGTAAATTTTTTTTTATAAATGTACAAATATCCTAGTACAGCACATATAAATGGTTACAAAATACAACAGCTTCTCACAACTGTCTTTTATCTCATGATTACAGCTCATTTGCTCCCTACTGTTCATACGTTAAAGAGAGAGAAAAACTGTTCTAATACATAATGAAGAGGGTATGCACCTCCCAATACCTTAAATTCTGCTCTAAGATTTTTACTAAATATTTTTGATGAACTCTCGAGATGATAGTTTTAAACTGAATGAGAAAAAGTGATATGATATTTGGAGCTACAACAGAAGCTCAACACCCAATGGACTAGCACATGCTATGCAAATTGTTTCGAGATAAAAAAAAATGAAATCTGCCAAACGGCATATGCCATTATCATTTCTTATAGTTGAAACAAGGGACATCTTTGGTGTTGGATGAAACAAAATGGTAGCAACAGATGTGGCTGTTAAAAATACATTCAAAGAGTCAACTGGGTACAATAAGCCATATTGTATTGTACTGTATTACAGTCGAGAGAAGTCTTTGGAATCACTTGAAATAAACATTGTCACTGTGTCAACAGATGTAGCCATTAAAAATACATTTAAAAAGTCCACCGATTACAATATGAAGTATCATTAATCACAATAAACACAAGGAAGGACTTTTTGAGAATTGTATGAAATGAAAATATTCAGTGTTTTAACAGATGTAGCTGTTTAGAGTACGTTCAAAAGCTCAAATCCCTGAGCAAGTATTTATAGATGAAAGGATTTTTTTTTCACAACCACTCAGAGCACCCATTGTCTACTCACCTAAAGGGATAAACAAAACAAAAACAAAACATAAAAAAAACATAAAATGAGCACCAAGAGTAGAAACCATGAGTGAACAGATGGAAAAGTGTGTTGCAGGGTCAAGTGTGTGTGTGTGTGATTGCAATATGTATATTGTGGAGTGATTCATGTTCCTCTGCTGCCTTGTGCAATTTTGTGTTCAAGTGAAAGCGCCAGGTAGAGATAGAAGTGAAGGATGAATTGAGTGAAAAGTGAGAAAGCAACAGACGGTCAGAGAGAAACAGACAGATAAAGACAGTGAATAAAAATTCTGTGTCTGTGTCAGACTGCACTGATCAATTAGTGCTCATCTCAGTCTCATAGATTTGCGCTTGAGTTATTAAACACAGCTAATTCATTCTACTTCTATAATGGTTATAAATCTAAAGGAGAGCGAGGCATTGTGTGTGTGTGTGTGTGTGTGTGTGTGTGTGTGTGTGAGTGTGTGTGTGTGTGCATTTCTGTAACTCTGTGTGTGTTTGATTCATGGCCAGCAGGAAGTGTGTGGTACGCCACATTTTTCTCCTTGTAATTAACAGTAAAGTGTTTTTACTGCGGCGCGCCATGAATATCCCCTCTGGTTAACACAACCAATGCTGTCGCTACTCAAGTACCCAATGACTGACTGTGTGCTTTTGGATGCGTGTGTGCATATGTCAGTTGTTATGAATACCAAACACTTTAAAATGACTCTGCAACTAATCTGCTATTACATTATATATATATAGATAATGTATTAGCCTTTTCAGCACTTCCCTATTTTCAGACTTAGTTTGTATAGAGTTGATTACTGTTGTGCTGCCATATGTACGTGTGTTTATGTTTGCCTGCATCCATGTGCTTTGGGTGCAAATCTTTTTGTTTTACCTGCTGGTAGGGTCCGTCCTGTGCTTGGCAGACTGGTAATGCAACCTGTCTTTGTGCAGAGTGTAATAGTGAAGTTGTACACATGGTAAGGCTTCAGTCCTTTCACTACATAAACAGGCTGTGACGATGGTCCTGCCCTATGCAAGACCTGAAAAAGAGAAACACATAGGAAATTAACACTGACTAAATGTTTTATTTAATAAAGGGGGATAAAGCTATTGAAGAAAAGGGAGCTCTACAGATCAACCTCAGTACTTTAACTTACTTTAACTTTGAACAGACACACACTTGATGGCTGTTCACTTGACCTGACGCTACAGCTGCACAATTAATTATGTAGTAATTATAACCATCAGACCACCATGTTTAATGAAACATAATCTGCCCTGATTTTTTTATTATATGTTTGGCATTTCTGCTTTATTTAGACAGTGACAGCTGGAGAAAAGTAGGGAAGAGAAGGAGGTGACATGTAGCAAAGGGCCCGAACTGTAATCAAAGTCAGGCTGCTGCAGTAAGGACTCTCTCTTCAGTACGCACTCATCATTTGGGTCATTTATATATTTATTCATTCTCCGCTTCCAAACCTTTATTGCTGATGCAGGCGAGAGAATGTTCTACACAAGAGAAGCATAGTGAAACAGCATTTACCTACAAATACATAACATTCTCAATTGAAGGCTATAGGTAAGCTTTAAAGTTTCAGAGTTGTCCTACTCATTATGTGCAAGTATGTGTGTGTGTGTGTGTGTGTGTGTGTGTGTGTGTGTGTGTGTGTGTGTGTGTGTGTGTGTGTGTGTGTGTGTGTGTGTGTGTGTGTGTGTGTGTGTCTTACTTGGCTAATAAGCGGTGGAGCATAGGGATTGTTGGTCTGTTCAGTGAGCAAGTTGACGCGATATTCTGCGACCTGTCCTCTGGCGATGATCCCTTGACCTTCAGTGGAGCTCCACGCAACTTTGAGAGTGGTGGATGACAGTGAAGACACTTCTGGAGGAGCCATCAACTCTGGGACTGGAAACATGGCCACACACATATGCACATGAAAATATACACATCACACACTATATTTAGACTCATAACACATATTGACTCATAACATATAATTTCATATAATCCATGATAAAATAAATTATTTGCTAAGATATTACAAATCTATTAATCATTAATAACTATAATCATAAGATATGTTGAAATATTTTGAGAATACACAAAAAGGAGTAGAAGGTCACATTAAGAACCAGCCCCTTAAATATAGATAAGTTAACTAATGCTAATGCTAGTAGAACACCACATCATCACAATATCTCTTACCTGTTTAAATCAATTAATTCTGTTTAAATCAATTGTTTTAATCCATTATTCAAGAACATTTATTTTGATATCTAAACTTTGCGTATTTGCCAATACTGAGTACCGATCCGATAAATGTGTTAGAGGTTATATAATACATTATATTATTATCTTTTAAGTGTATACTACTAAGCGTGTATTATTGCTATCATTGCTGTATGGCCTGGCTCAGTAGAGGGGATCATAATTTTGCTATCCTGGATAAAAAGGCAAACACTGCTGGAAAGTAGCAAGGTCCCGTGGCCAATACATGACGTGGTATCAGATCGGGGCACAGATGCGTACTCGCCAATACCCCATTTTAGGCAGTATTGGAGCAACTCTTTTACTAAGTTGTTTACAGTTTTTTGCAGTCAGCTATTTTAAGTGAAAACTATTCACAATGTATAAATGTGCAGTAACCCTGACTATCATTAATTATTAATAAGACATTATTTTTCTGCTGCAAACATTTAAGCAAAATCTCTCCTTACATCACTGTATGCCATCTCTAAGTGTTTAGCTTAAATACTGCAAATCACCACCACATTGGTGCACCCATGCATGTCAATACGCCTCGACTTCAACTTCAGTAACTAATTGCTACATTTCTTAGAGTGCCTTGGTTGCATTCAGTACAGTGTGGGCAGATAAAATAGCAATAGCAACAGGGTAAGCCAGTTTATACAGGTAAGAACTGAGAATATGACTCAAATCACTGCCTGCATTCTAGCTCGATTAATATCTAATTGGTATTTAATTAGCTTCTACAATGAATTCAACTTTCTGATCAGTGGTGAATCTACAAAGATAAATGTTCTTGTATTATTACATTTATCTGACACTAAAACCTGAAGTTTTTAATCTCTGAGTTATGTAAATTTAGACTTCTAAACTCTGTTGTTGAGTTCTTCATATTTTTGGTGCTTTCCCTTTGACTGCTTCCCTAAAAATAAAAAATTAACCTCACAGTAAGTTAATTAAAAAATAAAATACACATGAAGACATACATTAAAATCAAGACTTAGTGGATATTATGTGGATTTAATGGATTTAGGTATTCTGCAATTCTACAGTTGTGAGAGCCACTATTACACAACAGATTAGAGAGAAGGATTCTTTTATTCTACTGTTGATGGCATCTAGCTGTGAAATACACTGTGAAATGTGATTTCTTTGCAGACATAACCACAGTTATATTCTTTCTTTCTAGCACATGTACGCGCACAAACACTGACACACACTCCACGTTTAAAATGGTGTTATCATATGCTTGTTATCCAGACACATAGCTTAGAGTGATGTTGGAGGCAACCGTTTAGTCCTAATGAGCCATATCATCTATTTGAAATTCAAATACCTTAATGAGTTTCCCCTCCTCCACATGCAGTTTTATTTCCTCCCTCCTTCCTTACATCCTTTTTTTTTCATTCCTTTTGACAAATGCTTGTTGTTGTTTTTTTATTACATTTATCAGTTAAGTTCTCTGGTGGACAGATTTTGACCAAAACATCACTGAAGTTTTACTTTGGTGGTTACTCACATCTTGGATTTCTTTTATTAAACAATTTTATTATTTTTCCACAACTTGCTGCATTCTTTTGCTTTAGGACAGATCGGCAACAACCAATTTCTAATCCCTAACCACAGCTGAACAGATTTACATTAGAGGAAGTAAGATTTACAAAATAACTTCAAGTATAAAAACATTTACTTTGAATTTCAAGAGAGACCTTGGGAGGTTTTGAATGGGAATAATGATGTAGTATGGGCTTTTTATGGAGCCAGCCTCTTATGACCATGGGAAAAAATCCAGCTCAAAGAAAAACCCACACTGGCCTCACTGTTAAGCAATGATGGATGCCAATTGGCAAAGAGTGTATCCTTTAACAACACAAAAAAACAAAAAGATTGATTCTCTATGGGGAAACCCTCCCACCTGATGTAATTTGCCATTGTTTTGTTAAACTGAAAATTGAATAATAAATTGATTTAACTTAAAAAACTCATGTAAGCTTTTTTTCTTCTTCTTTTGGTCGTTTTACCTTTATTGGATAGAAAAAGCTGAAGAGAAACAGGAAAGGTAAGTACTAGTAGCCTTGTACATGGTGCACATGCTCTAGCAGGTGAGCCTCCAGGGTGCCCCAACGTAAGCTTAGTTTAACTATGATTACAATCTATACAAACCTCCCTCCATGGTACGTGCTGTGGTCCACCCTGATGTGACACTTCCTGCCATATTGGTGCTCAAAACTCTCATCTGATAGGTGGAAAATGCTTGCAGATCTGCCACAATGGTACTGCTCTCAGGGGGTGCGACTGTGCTCCTATCGCTTTGCTGTGCTTCTGGGGTAGCACTTGGATCCAGCCAACCAGAGCTGAAGAACACCCTCTTCTCAACGGTAGGACTTGAGAGGTTCAGTGATTCCATTGGTCCACGTAGAAAGACCTCATACTTTGTGATAACACCTGTACAGAAAGCAAAGTACAGTAGTTTGTTAGTACTTATGTCCACAACACATGAAATCCTCACTAAAGAGTTATTTCTTAAATCAAATCAGAGAAGTAACAATTGGAACTACAGGACTTGTTAGGAAAACACTGCACCAGTTTTCTTTTTTCTTTTATTAAATTTGTGTCCCAGGGCCAATTCAGCCTGTTTATGATAAAATAATCAAAGCTTCAAGTGTGTATTAGAAACTGTAGGCCTGCTTAATACTCATCCCTCTTGGCAACAGGAGGCTAAAACATTTTTTTATACAAAAATGTTGTTTTGAGAAAAATCTAACACCACAAATAATGACAAAGCCCTGGCCAGTATTTGGCCCTGTAGTAGAAAACAGGCTGATAATGATTAAGTCCTGGCTAGTCCTGTTTAGCTCTCTGGTGGAAACCAGGGTATTGTTCGAATATCTCATGCTCTGTTCCACTCGCTAATAGCAAAATGACAGAGCTGGGTTAGAATGAGGACAGAGCAGGCAGCACCAAAACACAATAAGAGATTTAAAGACCCACTATGGAATAGATGAGTGTCCAAATGTTGTTATAAGTATAAAATACAAATACAATCAAATAATATAGAGTCTTAGAGTGGACCCTTTGTTAAAAGACCCCATGTACCCTCTCTTTACCCTGCTCTCTCTATGTTCTTTTCCTTTTCTTTAAATCTGTGTATGTCTTTATTTCTTACTCTGCATAATTTAAAAAAAAAGTCTGTCTCCTCTATTTCTCTCCCCTCTAATATTAATTTACTTCATACAGAGTAGTTCTTTCAACATTTAGTTTAGCTTTAGTCATAGTTTATTAGAATCCTTATATAACGGCTCTAAACTAACTTGAGGCCACCAAAATACTTCAGTTACTTTACTGAACTTCTGACAATCCTCTCTACCTCTTTATTAAATATATAAAAAGTTGGAAAATGGACAGTAAATAATGGAACTTGCATGATCCATCACTGATGTGTTTGGCTTATATATCTGTTCCTCTAAATGTCCATATATCATCAGCAACCATTGATAATGGTATATTAATCAAAGTAGTGATATTATATATCTATATATCTTTGATGTCTGTGAATGATCATTTCATTCCAAAATTTAAAATGTCCTCAACGACATGTCATGTATTTGTCAATTTCTAGCTATCCAAAGGCATCATGGAGAAGAGGAATACTGAGTTAAAATCCACAAAAGGTAGTGCTGAAAAGCTGGGCAGATGACAAGAATCCAAACAGATTACTATGGAGAGACTCAACATTTGCAAATCAGGATTGAGAGGGTCTAAGCAGTAATTCCAACCACAGAAACACTGTACTTGTACATGCCCCCGTTTAACCAGGAAAAACAAAAACTGGTGTTGACAGATGCACTGTTGCACTGTATATAAAACTGATCTCTTCCTGCCAATCTCTACTTCACTTTCTCTTTATTTTTGCAGTGGTCACAAACATCAAAATAAACACAAACGTGAAGAGGCTAAATTGCGCCTTGAGTTTGTGAAAACTGACTGAAAACTGGCCAAATCAGTGAACACACCCAGATCAACAATGGTAGAGGCATACAGGTCAGGGCTGAGATTAAAGTTGAGTCCAGTCGGAGAGCAATATCAACCATTCTTGACTGAACTGATGACAGGGAAAATGAAGGAATGAAACCCAGAGAAACCCATGTAACAAAGCTGGGAGGGAAACAGATTAACAGAGAGAGAAAAAAAACGAGAGACACAAACAGAGAGAGAAACCCAGGTTACAGGGCTTTGTATGACACTGAGCCTTAGAGCCATTACAAAGCTCTCTGGATTTACCAAAGGCAGTTCCAGTTCAGTGCATATTTCTGTGTGTGTGTGCGTGTATGTAGTGGTGTTAGTTGATTCAGTCTTCAGTGACACAAGCCTATAAGCCACGCTACTAGGCAAGTGTTTTATGTGAGTTAAAAATGTGTGTGATTATTCTACTGTATAATTCATACATGTGTGCATTCTTAATTGCATGGTTGTGTGATATGTGTACAGTTTGTGTTTGTGCATGTGCTTCTGTATTAAGTCCTATATGTTACATGAGAACAGTACAGTATGCATACGTGTATGTTTGGGGTCCTACCATTTGGCTGAGTGGGGGGCTCCCAGGAAGCATGAAGTGTATGCGGTCCTGTTGCAGTGACTGTGGGGGCAGGCTGGTTTTGTGGGGGCGCAGAGGCTGTCAGATAAGACAGTGGTGGGGTAGAAGTGCAACCCCCAGAAGAACAAGCCTGTAGACAAGGTTATGATTTTGTCATTTTAATTTTGTAGGCCGTACATTTGACAAAAAAATTGAAAGCACTGTTGTTGGATCTATTTTGCAGAGATGCAGGCACTAAAACACTGTCTGTTTGCCCCACCTACCTCCAGTATTGCAGTGTATAGGGTGAAGGGCTTTAGGCCTCTTGCCACAGCCTCTGTAGATAAGCCTGTGTAGTGAATGATGGGCTCTGCTCCATTAGATGACTCCGTGGAGGATAACACAAACCTGTGGGAGACAAAGAAAATGTGACAATCAATTCCTCTTTTCTTCATTTTCCCATCTGCCCCTATCATTCCACTAGACCACATGGTTTTATAATGTGGTTCAGTTAAAAACTAGTGCTAGGATGTCAAAGGGGGTGTAATGGGCTAAGTAATGTTCCATGTCAACTGCATTGTCTGTAGTTGAGAGGTCTGGAAACAGGCTATTGTTGCTCCTTACTTACCTTTCCACTGGGCCTGTGTCATTTCGTGGTGTGCTCCAGTTAAAGCTGGCGGTGGTTGGACCAGGTCGTCCCACAAGGTTTAAATGGAGCTGTTCTGCTTCAGGTGGTGCACCTAAAGTTTGGTATGAGGCTGATGCACTTATTGTCGCACCGGCCACATTAGCTGTGACAAGCCAGTAAGAGTAGTTGGTGTAGGGAAACAAACCAGTGTCTTCAAATGATTCATGGCCTTAAGAAAAGAAGGAGGAAGGAAGGAGGAAATTAGGAAATTAGTTTGGAGTGGATTTATGTGTATCTGAAATAGTAAGAATGCAATTTAAGTAGTTTGAAAACCTGCCTGGCTACTTACTGAAAGGATAGAGACTTTGAACGCTATGCACTGACTGTCCATCCCTGATGAGTGTGTAGTTGAGTCTGTTTGAGTTTGGGGAGTCAGGTGGATGCCAAGAGAGATGAATGGAAGAATAACTGTGAGCAAAACCTACTGGTGCAGGCTGTTGGAAGGGCGCTGCACAGGCAGAGACATAAACAGTGGAAGGTAAAGAGATAAATACATAAACAGAGTGAGGTAAATTATGTCATTTTACAGGGCCAAACTGTTTGTAATTAGAGCATGTTAATTGTGTGTAAGTGTATTCTTAGTGTCAACAATCAGTCAGAAAGCCACCCAAAATTAGACCGCCATTATTGATATATGTAATCTATCTACTCCCATGTCTGTACAATAAATATATTAGCTAACAATGTGATGTGTGTGTGTGTGTGTGTGTGTGTGTGTGTGTGTGTGATACTATGTAAAACAGACCTTTACTGCAGCCAAAGTAGTTCTCTGGGTCAAAATGACTTGCTCCAGGTTGACATATGTCACACTTGTGTCCAGTTACCAGCAGCTTACACACACACACTCCTGAGTCTGGATCACATGAACCATTGACACTGCCCACTGGGTCACATGCACAAGGCTGGCACCTGGTCAAGCAAAGAAAAAGAAAAAGAAAAAGAAAAAAGATTATAAAGACGTTTTGTACAGTCCGCAATTAGTATTCATGGCTACACCTAGCTGGTAAAAAATGTCAAAACACATGAAATCGTTAATAAAAACTTACTACAAACGTGTACTTTTTGATACACACCGTGTGCTGCATTATGCTGCTGTACCTACACGTTTTCTTTTAACAAAACTACAGACTTCTTGTGATGTTTGTAGGGTTTTATCAACCAATCACCCCACAGATCCGTCTACTTCCGTGGTTAGATAATTGCACTGCATAAATTATATTGTTTCAGCTGTGGACGGTAGGCCAAAAAATAGACAAAGATAATGCATTAGTGTGCAAATGTTCAAAGCTAAATTGTGACTGGGTGTGTGTGTGTGTGTGTGTGTGTGTGTGTGTGTTTGAAAGGTGTTGGGTCTTCACCTTAACACTGTGATGGAGACCCTCACTACCGTCTATCCCACCCACCATCACCCTCTAGCTGTGAAACTAAATTCACAGAAAATGCATTCCCCCTCAGAGTTGTCAAAGTGTGCATGTATGTGTACGTGTGTGTGTGGGTGTGTGCGTGTGTTTGACTGTGTATGTGTCTGGGTCACCAGTGTGGTGTTACCCTCACTGGGGCTGGGCAGCGGGTGATCATCCGGCCAGCCACCTCACACCTTTACACACACACGGTCGCATGTGCAACAAAATCAGTTTGTTAGAAGATGTTTGGCTCACACACACACACACACACACACACACACACACACACACACACACACACACACACACACACACACTATCCATGTGTGTTTTCCTTTCTTACACAAACTGTACTCACACAAACTGTACCCCCCCACACACACACACACACACACACACACACACACCACTACACCCTTCTTTATTGCTGTGTGAAAAGCCACAGCCTCTTAACGAGCCGCAAATTTGTCCTGTCAACTGGTGCTCACACACGTACGTAGACACCAACACTCAAAAACACACAGGTACAAATACACACATACACACAAATGCCATAGTGACTCGACCTTCACTCCATTCCCAAGGAGAAAGAAAACACCAACATCACACCCATTCTCTCCTTTTTCACCAGCCTCAAAGTACAGTGTGTGTGTGTGAAAGAGAGTAATTTGTGTGTATTTAGTGTGATGCCAATACAAACAAGCATTTAACAGTGACATGGTAACAGTGACAGTGGAATTCAAAGATGTTTAGGTCCCAGTAACACAAATGGTGTATTATTGTAGGTTTTAGTGTATTCAAATATTACATATGTAATCTTATAATAAAATTATGGGTGTAAGTGAATGTGTGTATGAGCCAATACTTAATCCCTCCAGACAGAATTACCATCATATTTCCCTGTGATGAAGGGGCTGACGGTCAGCAGTTCTCTGACCCGGTTTTCCATAGAGACACATAGAGACACAGAACTACATCTTCAGCCAACTGCTCACACATCAATTTGTGTGTGTAAATTCATTTGTGTAAAGCCTATTGATTGAAGGCGGAGGATAAATTACTTGATGACATTTAGATGAAGAAATCCTTATTATGGAGCGACTCTGGGCACAAGAAAGGCATTCAGCAGTAATAACCTTTAAAGACTTTATTTGTCATTTCTACTTAACAAAAAAGGAAATAAAACAGGGAAAAGCAAAGAAAGGAAGACACAGAGAGAGAGAGACAGATGTACAAACTCACTGCCTGGGTACAAACTATAAGTTAATGCTTGCCTTTTACAAGATATGTGCCTTTGACCATTTTTCTTTATCTTTCTCTTTTTCTGTTTTAACATCTACCTCATCACTGCTCTTCTTTAATAATTTAATTATTTGCTTTATTGTCTTCCCAGTTCTTCCATTCCTTAATCTCTTTGTAAAGTTAACTCTTTATCACTCTGTTGTTTTCTCTCCCTCCTTCCATCATTCTATCCCTCTCTGCTGTGAGGAGATCTCAGCCACAGCCTGAACACTGGGGAATACAGCTATCAGGCAAGGTCAGCTAACACACACACACACACACACACGCGCGCGCACGCACGCACGCACGCACACACACACACACACACACACACACACACACACAGTGGACCACTAGTCAAACAGTTTGTGGATCATCTATCTGCTTTGACACCCTGTTGAGAGGAACGTATCCATGTGTGCGTACCAGTATTGCACAGGATGTAACTTGTACAGTTACATTTGTGTATGTGTGTTTTAAGTTGTGTGTGTGTGTCTGTGTGTGTGAGATAGCCTGCAGGTAGAGACATGAGTGGTAAAGGTCAAAGCAGCTCTTAACTCATGTAAGTCATATGTCTGCCAACCAATCTGTAAACTGTCTTTACAGAGACTGCACCTGCTGGTGTGTGTGTGTGTGTGTGTGTGTGTGTGTGTGTGTGTGTGTGTGTGTGTGTGTGTGTGTGCAGGTGGTGCAATTAACGGATAAAAGCTTTCCAGGATGTTCAAGCGACAGATATGATGTTCATCTGTGTGTGTGTGTGTGTGCGCGCTCTGTGATTTTTATGTGGGTTACCTGCCCAGGCCAGGGTTGAATCCGAAGAACATCTCACGACACTGGTCACAGCGTCGTCCTCCCACTGACGGATGGGCACACACACACTGTCCAGTCTGGCTCTCACAACCACGCTGCGATGCTCCCATGGGATGGCAGTCACACTCTGCACACATACTCTGATCTGGAGAGAGGTAGAAGCCTGGACGGAGACAGCCATAACATTAAGCACAATCTGATTGCTTGTCTCTCACTTTATTAATCTTTTCATCTGCCTACAAGTGTATTATTTGTGTCTTCCTTCTTTATCTGTTTATTCTTTACTTCCTTCCTTTGCTATTTCCTTTATTTTCTACACCATCAAAATCAAATCCAGATGCTGATTTATGAAAACACAACTCAAAACATCAGTTGTTTTATGTCCAGGTTGTGGTTTGCAAAATTATTACATTTAGTGTCACAAATCGCATATGGGGCTGCTTATTCAATGACCATTATATGGTTCACTATTTGTATACTGTAGTGCTTTTGATAAAATAATTCTCTAATGACAAAAGGTTATATCTATAGTATCTAGTGGGCTAAAAGTAACAAGCACATATGCATTGTAAAAACTATGAACTGTGTTCTCTTTTTTGATTGATTATATGTTGTTACAGCGTTCAATATACAATTCCTTATGTAGAAAATAATGAATGAGGACTGCGGCCTAGAGACAACCATTTTATGTTCTTCCTAATAAGAATTAGGGTGTGTTGTTTGCCATTTATTTGTGATAAAATTTAACACAAAGCCAATAAGGGTGTGAGGTTACATTAAGCACTCCAGGTTCTAAAAATCAATTCAGTTTATTTTTCTCAAGGCTAATAGCTAATAAACAAATTAGATATTCTATTTAGCCACTTCGGCAGGGAATACTCAAAGGCATGTATACCATGTCGTGAACTGGCAGTTGAGGAAATTATGAGGCAAAATTTGTAGGAATTGAGCTTGGCAAATGCAATGGAATAATGGAATAAATAAAAAAAAAAACATAATGAGACATGTGGTAGTTGTACATCTGTGTTACTTCACAGGTACTGGATAACCTTTATTTGGGGGGTATTTGTCAGATAATAACTATTGTCTTATGTCCTCTGTTACTCTTTTCAAAATCCTTCCATCAATACATCCGCAAGTTGTGTTACAGTAAACCTGACGGTGCTGTTGGTCCTTCTCCATTACCAACACAATACAGCATCTGTTACTTCTCGTCCCATAAGACACTAACCACACATACCAGTACACACACAAACAAATTCATGAGGTAATGCACACACAAAAATTAAAGTGAGATGAGTGAGAAAAAACAATCTTTCCCCTCTATGGCACTGTTGTTGGGACCTGGCACAAACAGGACAATCACTGAATGGAGATCTGGCAAAAGGCACATGCCAACACACACACACACATACACACACAAACACACACACACACACACACACACACACACACACACACACACACACACACACACACACACAAACAAAGGAACAAAGACTAAAAGTTTGGAGTACTAATTGTTGTTCTTTGCCATTTTACTGAACTTTCTGTAGTAATGTCTCCACTTTATTCATATATCCAATAACTCCTTTAATTTGTTGCTGATATATATAACATCCATCCATCAATCCATTCATCATTCCAAACACACTCACCAGGTCGACATCCACTGCAATCCTGTCCGAAGCGTGTACGGATACAAACACACTGCCCTGTAGTGCTGTCACATACTGACCCCGCCACTGTCCCTCTGGGGTCACAGATACATGGTACACAGCCCTGGGACAAACCCTCTGATGGGACACAAAACATCAGAAAGCAAAATAGATTCAGACGTTCTCTCCCAAACTGTCACTACTTACACAACAGCTTTAAACAACAAACAACAAAACATCCCCTCATACAAAATCCTAATACATGATATTAAAAGAATGCATTAGTTACATAACACCCATTTTATGTAAATAAAAAGTAACCATGTTGTCTCTCAAATGACTCTGTGTTCTCTTACTCTGGAGATGTAAACTCCTGTTGTAGTAGTCGTGGGCACAGTTGGTACAATGTGCTCCCACAACTCCCTCTCGACATGGGCACTGTCCGGTCCACATATCACATACGCCCTCTGGCACAGTGCCATGGATGTCACACGCACATGGCAGACAGCCCAGGGAGTTTCGCTGCTCCAGGGTGTGGTAACCATGACGACAAGAGTCACAGTGATGGCCTTCCACATGTTTCTAAAAAAGAAAGGAGGAAGGGTTTACAAAAAACTCAGACTACCAAAGTGACACCCAAGGTAAACTAGACAAGAATTTCCAATAAGGTTGAACTGGTCAGTCAATTTAAAAAAGCTGGTTGTCAGTTTTTTATGCAACCTGTTTCAGGCAGTTGTATGGTGGTAGATCATTCAGATTATAAAGAACTGAAAAGAACTGGATGAGAAAAACTTGATGATACAAGACAGGTCAAGTCAGGACAAATCCATATCCAGTGTAAATATTCTACTATTCTATAGAAGTAATGTTTATTTTTCTCAAGATTTAATTTCAAAGAATCCTCTAAACCTCATCATCACCTATATCGTATAGACCTCCATCATTTCTTCTGCTAAGAAACCAAAACTAAACTGGGCGGCTTCTGCCTTTATTTTGCTGCAGTTTATTGTTGTTGGTAAAATATTTACAAATCACCTCCTGATTCATAGGCTCTTATTGGTGTGCTTGACATCAGTACACTTGTTAACTTGCCTTACACACACACTGTCCTGTATGAGGATCGCAGTCTGTTCCAGGTACTGTCCCGTCTTGTGAGCAGTTGCAGGGGGTGCAGGATCCCTCCAGTCTTAAACCATACAAACCCTTGCCACAAGAGTCACAGCGCTGGCCCCCCACTCCAGGTTTACACTCACACTGTCCACCCTCAGGCTCACAGAACGGGCTGAGGGAACCCAGGGGGTCGCAGTCACATGGGATGCAGCCGTCTGGGTGGGACAGGTTCCAATAACCAAACTCACAGCGGTCACAAGAAAGACCTGGAAAGAAACCATGAGAGAGAAAAAGAGAGACAGAGAGAGAAAAAATAATTTACAGAAATGTTGAGGAGAGGACAGAGTGGGGCCAGCTGAAAGAACCAGAAAATACATTTAAAAAAGCGAATTTATGCTCACTTGTTCACCAATAAACGTTTAGCCTTTCTCTGTTTGTAGGCAAGTGTGTATGCGTGTATGTGTGTGCAAGTGAGAGTGAGTGAGAGAAATGGTGGGTGAGTGTATAAAACTGCCATCATTAGGGCCAGGCCCTCTACATATGATGGATCACTCACCTAAGGCCAAACACTTAATTTCACTGAGCGAGAAAATAAATAAATTAAGCAACTACAAGAAAAGAATGGAGGGAGAGAAAAAGAGGAGATGGAGGGATGGAAAGATGGAGAGAGGAGCATAAAAATAATAATGAATTGCCATCACGTGTAAAAACAAGAAAAGGTGATTTCCATTCATGAAAAAACCTTGGCTTTAAAGTACTTAATCTTTTTCTGTTTATTGCCAAATTATCTTTTCATAATTGTTCATTATTAAAGAATTGTCAGAATACAAAAATGTGTGAATTTTCCATGCTAAAAGGAACAATTCAGTAGAGCATGTGAAATGACCCAATTAACAGTTTCAGTTCAGTTATTGCTCTTTATTCGTTCATTTACTCATATCTTAAATTTAGATTTAAGTCTTTCAGATTAATGTTATTTTATTCTGTCAATGTGGCAAATTATGTCTTAAATGATTTTTATTCTTATAATTATTGTATAATAACAACCACCAAAACAGATCTTACTGTGGGAGGTTTGATGGCTACAGCAGCAGTGCTAGGCTATAAGGCTAGTTAAACTATGATATGCAGTGTGAGCGAGCAGGGCTTATTTGAATATGCCATACGTATTCTATGACAGGCAATCTGTCCCTAAATGGATGCCTGGGGGCAACGCAGTCACCACGGCCGTTTATGAGGGAGCGTGTGTTCGTATGTGGGTGGTTGCGCGCACATACATTCATGAGAGGAAACCTGTACATTTGTGTTGGTGCACATGACCACGTGTGTGCGTGTGCATCTCTGTGTGTGTCCTGCTCAGTGTGCGGCAGACACTTGGCATTTCCCCTGGTCTGCCCACTTTAATGATTTTATAGATATGAATGTATTTCTCTCCATAGATCATATTTCATAATAGCGCAGTGAAGACGTGTCTGTGTGTGTGCATGTGTGTGGTGAGGTGTGTGTGCATTTGAATGTGTTGGTGGTAAATACGCAGTCTGACAGAATGATGCTTACAACCCTAACAATGCTGTGATGTATTGTACTCAGTGTGAATTTTTCCAAATAGAACTAACGATTATAAAGAGTACCACAGCCATTATAAAAAGAGTTGAGGGCAAAGTAATTGTATTTTCTATTTACATTTGCGAATCATATTTTTTGCAACTTCTTTGTTGTTGTTTTGTGACAGGTCCAACGAAACAATAACAGGAACAACAGAGGGGATTAGAGAAGAGAAAAGAGAAGAGAGAGTCAGAAGACAATAAAAAGGAAGTGAAAAGTGAGAACATTAGAGAATAGAATGTGTTAGAAGATATTAGATCAAGACAGAAAGGAGGTAATTTTGTGTTGGGGGTGCATGTGTGCACGCCAATGTGTGTGTGTTTTCGGGACATGGCCCAGCCCTTTTATCAGTAGCCAGCTGGTTAACAGGCTCATGCATCACCATTTCAAACACTATTATGTACACACTGCACTCTGGCACCTTGTTATGAGTGTGCGTGTGCGTTGGCATGTGTGTATCTGTGTCTGTGCGCACACATTTCAATTCCGTCCTTCTGAAGCGTGCCTGCCATTGCTCTACTCAAAGTATCAGCTTGGCGGTAATAAATTGCCATAATCAAATCTCATTTCTGAAAAATACCTGTGGGAGCAACCAAACAAACAAGGACAGAAAAAAATGAAAGTGGGTCTTGTAAGAAGGAGTGTGAAAAATACAAGGGGCTGCAGCAGTTTGTTTTAATCAACTTGGCATTGAATTAGAGAATTAAATACCAGCTTAGTCCTTGATGGCATGCACGCATGCACGCACACACGCCCGCATGCACACACGCAAAGAAACTCTTCATTCATACAATATATACAGCTAGGCAAAGACAAAAGTACATGAACACACGGTCACATCCAGACACTCTCCGTCCCTACATATACATAACCATAAACAGACACTCTTACACACATTTACAAGTTCACATACACGTGCCCACCCTCACACGCACAACCGTGGGCCCTTGATAGCGAGGCTTAGCAATAACCATGATGCGTTGAGTTGAGGAGCGTTGGCCGGTTTTGCATTTCATACGAGCCTGCTCTTCAAAGACACACAGGGGAGAGAGTGAAACCATTTATCACAAAGAGAAGCACAACGGCTGGAAGCACCGCCAGCAGAAAAGCCTGTTTATTTTGGCTGGCAAAACACTTTGGGATATGGATGTGCGTGCGTTTGCATCTGTGTGTATATACATGCTTGTTTTGGTGTGTGCACACAATATATCCACTTTTGCTTTTGTGTGCACCCCAATGAGCAGCTGCGTCTATGTATTAATTAAGACGCCATTACTGGACAATTAAACAGAGTAACTGTTCTAATGAAAAACACAAGTTATCAACAAAGTATTTGGGGACATTTTGTAGGAGAAACTACTTTGAGAGGTGTGTTGCTGTGGTAAAATACCAAAGTCTGAAGAGATTGCTGGTATTGACCTGGAATTACTTTTATCTTTTCCTTACCTTAATTGAACCCTCACCCACAATCAGGTTACTTGTCTTGTATGGGTAGGGTTTCGGGGGGACGGCATGAACGTGTATGTTGCAAAGAAGCAGCTCTGAAAATCAAGTGTCTCCTCTGACACACATGATTGTCTCTGAGAGGCTCTGGCAACCCAGCACTAAATATGTCATCAAAAACACAAAAAACTTCTAGCTTCTAGACTGTGGTGTGTTTACCTGTGACATGGGGTTTACACTGGCACTGTCCCGTGTCCTGGTTGCAACTGGGAACTCCTCCTGTTGAGTTGCTGACGATGCCGATGTCACTGCAGTTACAGCGGATGCAGCCATTTGGATTTGAGGCCTTCAGACCATACCAACCAGGCCAGCAGTCTGCACACCGACGACCTGTTACTGCTGCCTTACATTGACATTGACCTCCTACCTGGAGGTGAGAAACACAGAGGAAACAAACTGATTTAAAAACATTTCACACATCATGTCATCAAAATGACAAAGTTACAAGGGTTTCACTGGTTGTCAACAAGTTGCTGTTTGTGTTGGTGTGTACCTGGGCACACTCCATGCTGCCGTTGACTGTTCCAGTTGTGTGACAGTTGCACGACTGACACACATCATGTAAAGTGGGATCAGAGTCCTCTAGCCTGAAAAACCCACTTATACACACCTCACAGTTCCTACCTGATGGCAAGAGAGACAGAAACAGTAAGTCAGAAAGCAAGAAAATCAAAGGAATAGATAGAAACAACAGAGGGTTCAACCATATTTGTTTAAATGGGAAAGTGGTTTCGCATCATCACTAAAAAAACAGCATGAAATACTTCATAAAAACCCTCTCTCTTCTAATCAATTTCATTATAGACAAAAACTCATAATCCTCTAATTTCCTTTACTACCGGTTAGACAGTCTGAAATAGTAAGGAATAAGGAATCTGTATACATTATCTGTATACAGACTATATACTACTACAGTTGTTTTAATCAAAAATACTAAAATAGCTCACACACTGTTCAGCATAATGATAATTTCTAGCTCAACATCTTGAAATGATAGAAGGAAGATCTGAAGGCTCATGACATCTGGGCTGTAATTGTTTCAAAGTGTTTTACAATTAAGGTTGATTAAGAAAAATAAAAGGCATTTTTAAGATTAAATTTATTTAGATCTTATAAAATGTGAAAAGGTATTTAGCTAACTTATGTTGCTAATACCGTACCCGTGGTGTTGTGCATGCAGTTGTCACATACGCCTCCTCCTCCTCGATAGTGCTCCTCTGGTTGGTCATCAGCTCTGACATCATAATGACAGGAGAGGGCGTGGCCATGACACTGGCAAGACCGGCAGTTCATAGGCTGGAGCTGGTCACCTGATCTGAATGGCTTGTCATTGTAGAGGGGCGCGCAACGCTCGCACTGTTGAAAACAGTTACATAAATAAATAAATACAGACATACATTTCTTTATTTATACTGTAATCTAACATACTGTTTAAATCTGCTGCTATAATTGTGGCAAAAATGCAATCATAGATGCAAGTTTACAGAATTGGACACACATACAAGGACCCAAACACAGTAAGCAAGTTTGAGAAAACAATCGAAAGAACACTACCTTCTGCGAGAATACAACATACATTTAAATTAATTACAGCCTTTGGAGTAAAAACAAAAACATCCTTTGACAAGAGATTAGGAATGTAAACAATCATTTGTACAAGCAACGTCATATAAAAATGTCAGAAACTGTACATTTACTGAAACTATCTCTGTGTGCGTGTGTTTGCATAGAAACATGGTCCCATGACAAGTGAAATGCTTGCTTCTATGGAACAAAGACAGCGAATGACACAGACAGAGAAAGAGAGACACAGAATTAGAGAGAGGGGGGAAATATAAAGAGAGAAAAATCAGCAGCCCGTGTAAATCTAAATCTAAAGAGAGAGAAGAATAATACACATAACTGAATAGAAAACACAGAGGTATTCTCTACTATATAATACAGAGCCGGTACATTTACACACACACACACACACACACACACACACACACACACACACACACACACACACAGAATAGGGAAATCAGACCGCTAATGAGGAGTGACTTGCAATAGCCAGGGCTCTCACGCAGGCCCACTTTCATGTCAAAATAAACATACCAAGGTGTGTGTAGGGGAGGAGGAAGGGAAAAAAGTGATATAAAAAATGCATTTTTCTGTAGCAGAGAGCAGCAGAGGCAAGAAGCAGCAAGTACAAGCCCTTTGATTTTGTTCAGCAGTCAGTACAAATTATGGTGGACAAGGGGGGCATCAAATGGCGGGATTAAAAATGTATTAAAAAACACAGGAGTTCCTCCCATGTGTGACACATGCAGACTTGCACTGGGCCCATTATGTATGACACACAGAGGAGGGGGAAGGCAGGTGGAAGAGAAATGGTTGGGGGGGGAAAGGCTCCTATTTTGTATACAAGAGAAAAGGGAGAGGAGGTAAGGTAAAATGCAGGAAACTGATGTGAGCAGAAATGAGTTAAAAAATTCCCTTTGTGTTTTAAAAATTACGCCTGGAGGGACAGAAAGACAGGTAACAGATAACAAAAACAATCCACAAGTGTGTGAGTCAGACATGTGGGGAGGAAAAGGAAGAAGACAAAAAAAGAGGGACGACAATAACAAATAAAATTAATGTTAGTATGTTAAGAAGACAAAAGGCCACACAACCCAAAGCCCAGGACGAGACATATACAAACACATACAAGCTTAAGTAACAGTTATCAGATAACACAACATAAGATAGGAATGTATTTCCTTTATCATATAACAATTGCAAGCTTGCGGTCATCTTCTTCACTGTCTTTGCTAGCACATTGCTACATTTCTCTGCATGTTACCACCACTAACTGTTGATCAGTGGAACAGCGTGAAACCATAGGCAGGAATCTGTATCTAGGCATGCATGTGCACGTTCGTCCTTACGTGCTTGTGCCATACAAACAAAAGGGGGACCCACTCCTAAATATTGCTCCATAGTGCCACTAGTTAAAAGCTCCACAGGGTATCTTTAAGGTTTTGTATTGGTCTTGGATTTTAGCATGTCATTGATAATGCAGACAGCAGTCACATTTTTGTTCAAATTTAACTTATCAAACATAATTCACTAAATTAATACATTTTAGTTACATTCCATGTAATCTATTCCTAATTTTTACGGTTCTAAATGACTGAGCCACAGTAATTAAACACTATCTCTGAATTTTGTTGCTGCGGTGGCCAAACTTGATTAAATTAAGAAAGACGATTTTGAAAACAGGTAATATAGTCTGTTTGCTTGTTTATAAAGAAGATTTAGGAAGACAAATACACTTCCTCTCTGCAGAATGAACAAGATCTAAAGGCCTTGAATATCTGTATATTTGCATGTTTGTGTGTGTGAACTGAGTCTAGAGCACTGTTCCCTGTTGGGTGATTATTAACAGGATCTAATGAAGCAGCAGGGGATTCTCTGGAGACATAATGTAAACACACACACACACACACACAGGAGAGTGTGTCTTGGGACATGTAATTCCACAGGAGCGCTGGTATGTTTGCATGTTCCCGTTTGTTCTGTCTGCCTCCTGCTTGTCTGTCTGTCATGCTGTTTGGCTTCAAATCTATCTGATGTCATACCTACAGTAACTACCTGCCTATCTGTTTGTCCGTGCTGCTTTTCCCCTTCTCCCAATCTGTCTTTGTGGTTGCCTGACTGTCTATCCGCAGCTCTGTGCCCCAAAATGTTTCACATATCAAAAGGCACTTTTCTTTCTGCACTTCGAACAGAAATCTCTCACTACATCTCACTCTTCGTCTCTCCGCTGGGGATGAGTTGAAGAGCGAGATGTAGTAACTTCTCCTTTCCCATATCTCCCTCCCTTTTCATTCGTCTTTCGTCTCCTCTACCTCCTCCATCTTCCCACTCTTCCTTCCTCTTCTATCTCCCCCTCTTTCTGAAAAACAAATCACTCTGTACATCTCTCCGGGCTTCCCACCTCTCCCCTTCCTCACTCGCTTCCCCCGGTCTCTATCGTCCCCCAACTGCTTGTTCTCATAGCCACGGTGAGTATGTGAGCAGGAAATATTACCATATCAAATGAAAGGGAGGGGATTTTTTCTTCTGTCTCTTTTCTTTTCATTCAACATTGCGTTACCTTCCCTCTCTCCCAGCCTGCTAATTAGTCGAGGGACCGGTGTTTGGGAGTTAAAAAGGAAACTGCACACGTTCATTCTCTTCTTCATACAAAAGGTTTTGATGGCGCTCCATCATCCACACACAGTACCAGCAGCAAAAAACGACAGCACATGCTATAGATTGAGTGTACATGGTTTTAAATCTATTGCTTTCATCTTTCTGCAAATAGCCAGTCCTCTGTAACATTATACTGTAATAGAAAATAAAGTTATTCAGTTTGTCGTGCTGATGAAAAGGCACCTCTGTCAATACTTAATCAATCCTCTGACTCTTGACTCTTTCAACATTTCATTGCAGAACACACTGTCATCTCATGAAAAATCATGATGTAACCGATTAAAACAAGTAAGATGCTACAGACCTACAGTCTATCTCTAAACTAGACTTCAGTCAGAATTAAATCCCAAGTAAGCGAATGGTGGCAGGACAAGACGTTGTTAACAACATTATTATTCAGCAGATGAAAGCAGCGTATAGTGCAAGTCTTACTGGTTTATTCATAAAATGACAATGTTGTTAATTTGTTATAAAAAAACATTTTTCTTTTCTTTCTACACAGCTTACCAAATATTTCCTTACAAGTCTGGTTCAATGCATAAAATATATGAACATGTGTTTTTGTGTGTGTGTGTGTGTGTGTGTGTGTGTGTGTGTGTGTGTGTGTGGTGGACTGTGTTGCAGAGTAAAGGATAACATCCTATTTTCACTCTGAATGTTTTGACAAAACCTGCTGAGTGAGGAGCCTACTCTAATGGATTTGTGGACATTCAGATGGCCTGTCATAGGCATCTTTGTGTGTGTGTGTGTGTGTGTGCGCGCGTGTGTGTGTGTGTGTGTGTGTGTGTGTGTGTGTGTGTGTGTGTGTGTGTTAATCTGCTGGGGAACTCATCTTATCCTAAATGCCATGACCAATTTCACGCTCTCACTGGAAAGGTCGTGCCACTGGTGTGTGTGTGAGTGAGCATGTTTGTGTGTACACGCCTGTGTTGTGTGTATCTGAAGTTAACCCGGTTAACCCCAGTGTAGGTGAAAATCTGCTGCTGATGCAGACTTTAGCAACAGAGATCCTGGACAACATTACTTAACGTCACTAGCCATCAATATCTATCACACACACAGATGCAAACACAGAAACACACGTACAGCATCCAGCTCAGAAATGGTATACAGCATGTATACACCAAGTTCTTATAAATCAAACACCTCTACATGATCCTAGTTTTGATCTTATACTAGATCTAACATTTAATAATTCTCACTACTTGACTTGTTACAACTCACATAAACACATGCACACACTGACACAATTTGTTCAATGATGTCAAATCCACAGTCAGATCAGGTTCCAGCTGCACAGAGCCTGATGTAACTATCCCTTAGGGTGTGGAATAAGAAACACACAAGATAGCTTAAAAGAAAGGCAGCATGGATTGTTTTGCATCTTACCAAGATAATATTTTTTACCTCTGTAACACTAATATCAGATAATATTAAATCTACCAAAAATGCTATTGTGAACTGTGAGGAAAAACTTGTACAACAGAAAATAGTGTGTGATGTGATGTACAATACAATATATGATATAGCTTTCAGACATGACTAATCCATCAGTTGTGGAGAGACGTACAGAGACAGAGTGACAGAATGAGAGATCAAGTCTGACACAGAGTGCACATAAGAAAGAATCAAAAGACAGAGTGAGAAAGTGGGAGAGAGTGTGTGCGTTTTTGTGTGCATGTGTGTGTGTGAAAGAGTTTAAGTGTGTGTCTTCCAAGGCCCCCGTTGATCATCTTGACACATGTCTGAGCATTTCTGTCACTTTAATGTCACTGTGGAAATTCTGCAGATTAGTACAACATCCGTCATGGTGCTAGGCCAATCCAAGTCAACAGAACGCATGCAATATTAAACGCTAATATTCCCCACAGCCTTTTATGCTCCAATATTAGAGAGACAGAAGAAAGGTCCTGAATATTCACTCAGAGAGATGACATGGACAGGTTCGAGGGGAGAGTGCACACAGGAACACACACAGATGATCACACAAAAAGGACTAGAAGGTATAGAAACAGACATTGCACACACTAACGTCTTTCACAGAAGCGTAGAGATTAATTTACATAAAACATACACACTACCACAACCACACACACAAATGTATTCATATTACTTATTTCCATTGCATCTCTCTAACACAAAAGAACTATTATATGGACGGGCGAGAAGGAAAGAAACAGATTGGGAGGACGGAAAGACATAAGACAGTAAGAAAAATGGAGAAAAGAGAGGGATGAAACATGAGAAACAGAGGCAAACAGGAATGAATTAAATACTTAGAAAGCGAGGCAATAAAGACTGAGGGGGAGTAGAGTGAAATGAAGCGAAAGGCAAACAGAGAGAGAAAGAGAGCTGATTAGAGATGCATGCTGAGGGAATGTCATTGTTCTAGTCGATTTGAGACATTATTTAAACTGAGACCCCGGAGAGAAAGACAGAGTATAAGAGAGAGTGATCGACAAAGAGAAGTGGATGGAGGTGGGACAGGGACCTAGAGAGAGGAAAGAAAAAGAGAGGAGCAGAGATATTTTTTTTCTGCATTAGCCTGCATGAAAACATATACCTGACAATCTTAAATTATTTTGTGTGGGTGTGTGTGTGTTTGTGTGTAGAAGCACGTTCTATGAGAACTTTTATTTTAGTCTGGAGTTCATGTAAGACAAAAACTATTAAATGTTAGCCTGTGTGTAGGAGGGTTGTTATTTGAGCTTGGGAGTAAGCAAGACAAGCAATTGAACAGCTGCTGGTTGACAGCTGTACTTCTCCATTGATGTCCTCTGTAGCCTGTCTAAAACACTCACACACACACGCACACACGCACGCACACGCGCGCACACACACACACACACACACACACACACACACACACACACACACACACACACACACACACACACACACACACACACACATACTCTAATACACAAACGCAGGTGTATGAATGATACATAAGTAGTGAATAATGCAGGCTGTCCTGTGCTACAGTGAGGTGGAGCAGTCATACTGAACTTTTCACTGCTGACCGACTAGAGGCTTTGTTGGGGTGATGCCTACTATTACCTGGCAAGTTGTATTAGCTTTGCAAGCAAAGGCCTGGTCTTGCAGTTGTGGTTTACATCAAACTAGACTGAATTCAAATCAGACGCTAACATTCTGCAGCAGTGTGTGACTACTCGCTGTGGTATGATACTTTTGGTTTAACTGGGGGTGTCAGTGGTGGTGCATTAAAATTAAAGCAGTAACTGTGACCAGAAACAAACACAATCAACTGTGAAAGAAAATAAGATGCTCGGGACTTCAAGATAATTCAGCCGATCATAATATTTTAGCCAATCCATAAACCATCACGCAATAAGAGCTGGTTAACATAGATTCCACTAATTCACACAGATGTCAAACTCAATCAAAGATTTTTTTGTATCATTTTGTTTTAAAAATAAACCACATTTCATTGACATAGTTAACACTAAGACAGTTCAGTTACAGTCTGTTCCTCCTATAAACTAAGGAAATATGAAAAGTGAAGACAACCAGACCTACTGTAATTGAACATTTCTGAGATTTAGGTCACATTATGGCAAACACCACACATTCATTTAACATAAATCACACAACTCCAGGAGTCCGACACCAACAAGGCTGGTGTCAGCTGTCATTTATTTACAACTTCAACAACATACAGTATTTTGCCTTATTTAGCAACCTGGCCACACTGATGGCTGTCCATTAACCAAAATGTTTGGTTCCAAGCAGAAATAATTTCATAAGGAGCCCTGCTTCATTTGAAAAGTGTCCTGAGATAACTTTTGTTATGATTTGGCGCTATACAAATAAAACTGAATGTAATTGAATTGAACCGCCTGGCACTGCTGTCAAAAAGAATGGTAGTAACGGGCACTTAAATAAAACACTAGGATGAAACTAGACTAGAGAATATGGAAGAAAACATATTTACAGGACAGAGACACAAATAAATGTTTATTTTTGTGAGCGTGTGTGTGTGTGTGTGTGTGTGTGTGTGTGTGTGTGTGTAATTTATTAGAGAAGTCCTCTCTTTGTCATTAAAAAGCTGCTTAATTAAGACCATAAGGAGATTCTCCCCAGGGGGACTCCTCTGTGCTCAGTAGAGTGTGTGTGTGTGTGTGTGTGTGTGTGTGTGTGTGTGTGTGTGTGTTTATTTGCTTGAACATAATATAAGCCATCAGATGCTGAATATCTGGATCTAATACTGATATTGATAACTGGGAATAAAAATTCCCAGAGAAAGCAGACTAGTGTAAATTTTGTATCATGTGTGGCAACATGACCCTCTAATGACTTCACAGCACATACTGTATAAGACTTTAACACAGGTTTGTGAGGTCCACCACCACACTTCTCACAAAGTTTGTTACTCACATTGTTTCCCTCTGTGTGGCTCTCAGGCAGACACAGACAGCGGTAGGGCGTCACACTGGTATCACAGTGGTCTGCATGGCCGTGACACTCACATCTGGGCAGATGGCAGAAAGAAAGACAAACACGTGGCGCTTAAATGTACAAATTCGATAATTAAAATATTTAAATTCTTACTTCAATAATAATAAAAAAAAAAAAAAAACAGCAACATCATGAGAAAAGCTCTTCCTCCTTCAAAGTTTGTGTTGCCACCTCCTTCATGGAACAGCAGAAGTGCCATTAGGAAGTTCCCATTCAACATTTATGAATGCCATCCTCTTGTCATTCCCTATTATAAATGTGTGGACCCATCCCAGGAATTTTCTTGGACTTTCTTTTCTTTTTTTACACTTTAAATTACTTTTTTTTCTGCTGCCTTTTTGGTAGCCCTTTATTTTAATTTTTTTTTTTTTTTTTACCATGTGAAGCTTAAAACTAGTTAGGACATCCACAAAAGATAAAATGTTTAATATTTAATTAAATACAATTTTTTTTTAATAAAAACTATTAAAAAAATCATGTTTAAAGAGACTGGTTCCTTCAGTATCTACAGCAAAAAAACACACCGTCTTCTATAATTCTTAAGAATACTTCTGGAAGTGAAAAGAAAATTGCTACATTGTAACTTATCCAGCTCATATACCAAAATAATTTAGAAGATTTAATAATTAATTAATAAAGACTTTTTTTCTTGGCATATGGATAAAAAAAGTTTAGCATTTTTAAAATTTACCTAAAAGTAAGATATCCAACTTAACCATTATTTATTCAGAAACGGTTCACTGAGAGGAAGCCTCTCTTTTGCAGGAACACCCTGATCACATTGTTACCTGGAAGCTGCCCAGTACAACCACAGTGGTTGGGATTAAGGGCCTTGCTCAAGGGCACCTCAGTGGTTGTAATGAGGGAGGGGCTTCTTCACTTTACCCACCCAGATTTATCCAGTCATGAGCTTTCTTCTCTAATACTGTCCATTTACAATTAAACCAAAATTTATTTAGAGAATTAACAATTAGTTTACATCTTTTAACACTTTTCAGTACTTTCCATTTTACTGTTCAGCTAGAACTGATTTGTCCATAGCAAGTGAATGCTGAAACAGCCTAAATGAAGTTTCAGCAGTGCCAGCTAAAAGTACACTTGCCACGGGCACATGCCACAGCAGACTGAAGGGGAAAAAACAGGGTGCACTACTCAACTCTGCAGTGGCTCCATAAGGGAGGGCCACAGCATAACATAAAGTTAAATAAATACAATAAAAAAAAAACCCATTGAGGAATGCAAAAAATTAAAAAAACAGACATAATACTTAAATATAATAATATTTGCAGTAATGGTAATGGCCAGTGGAAGCATTTCACTCTGCTACACTGATAATTAGCTGCTTGATTAAATGAACAGAATCACTCAAATAGATTCATTATGAACTTGCCAATACACGCTGAAAAAAGGCGTCTTGACAAGGCAAGAAACGTCTGCGTTGCAAAATTAAAAAAGGTTGAATGGAAGTGCGGCCCTTGTTCTTTGCTCATGAAATTAGGAGATATTCACCAGTAGCCTATTTTATTTAAATAAACCCAACTCTCCAGATTTTGTGATCACTGATTTGCTGTAACATTTTCTGTACCGCAAGCTTGTTAAAAGTACAGTTAAGTACCCCTTTCTGTCAGCCATGATTTTGAACCTTCAAAATTAAACAAAAAGGTCCACAGTTATCACCTTAAGGGACCCTTTTTATACCTTACAGGGAACTTTTCTGACAAACATACCTTTGGATACAGAAATTATACCTCTGTTTCTCTGTGTGTAATATAATGTGAGAGTTGTTCTAATACATAGGGCAAACAATGCTCATGAGTGTAAACATACACAAAGACACACATGCTAAAGTTATGAGTGTACTTTCTCTTCCCAGCACGCCCATTTACATGCTTTCTAAAGAATGAAGAGAGATGGAATAAGAATGAAAGAGATGGGGGAGACGGGGAGGGATGAAGAATGCACAGATGAGATTTCAGCAGCTCTAAATCTCTGTTTCTCCTACTTCACTGTAACAAGCTACTAATTAAAACAGCTTAGAGGGAGGGGGAGGGAGAGAAAGAGTTAGAGATGATTGCCTCCTGCATAATCCTATAATTACCACAGTCATAAAAAACAGTCACTGTCAGTCTAATGAAGAGATGTGTTCACAATTACTCTCAGAAAGCTCTGCTGAAACTCAACAGTCTGTGTCAAAATATTTTTCTCGTTGTCAAACTGCTCACACATTTTTAACAAATCAGCACTGAGAAGATCTTCATGTGTTTCTTTTAACCAATTATGCCACTAAAATACAATTCTGACAAGTGACTTGTGACTTGAAAATTGGAACTATGTTACATATGGGGGTTCCTCTACATTAATTAGTAGGGATGTCCTGATCGACGCCGATCAAGGCATTTTTTAACTGATCGTATCGGCTATGTTGAGATCTTTTGTTTTACGTGAGCTGTCATGCAGCTGTTCGCCAACCCTCTCGCAGTTTATTTTCCTCCATCCTGCTCTGCCTCTGCTCGGAGAAGAGAGCAGTAGATATCTGACACAACCACACTCAACACGCCACTGCAAGTGCAACAAATGTCCTGCGAACAGAAACCCACTAAGAATTAATAGTACTTAATGTAAAATAAAAAAAGAAAAAAGATGTACAGACTGTTGAAGTAAACGGGATATCCCTATTAATTAGTAAAATTGTTAACACAGATATATGTCGCGCTGCCAACTAGTAGTCATTAAATAAAGCCAGTAGTCAACTAGTCGTAGCACATTTATGATATAAAAACAATAATTTAAATATTTTAACAGCTGCCTAATGATTTTGAACAAGTCATAACTACCAGCATGTAGTCGACTAAGACTCTTCTCAGTGACAATTAAGTTGACTAACAGGGGGCAGCCCTTGAAATATGCAAAGGCACTTAAATTCACTGTTATGCCCAATTATGCCAGAATATCAGTTTATAAATATTAAATAACAACATTTTGAGCATTTTTCAACAACTTTCAGAAACAGATGAGACACTCACCATGGATCTCAGCATAAATATTTTTAACTCCTCACCTGCCACTAATGGTGATCTCATTGATGCCAAAGTATCTGTGTCGCTGGTTCACCCTGGCTGCTTTGGTGTGGTATTGCCCACTCAGGTGTATCCTGACCTGGGTGGCATGCACCATCTTCTGTAGGGCAGGATTGTTGTAGAAGTCATTATAGCCTGGCCTAAGGTTTGGCTCTGGGGTCAGCAGGCTGAATGTGATGTTACCTCCTGAGTAGGGTACGTCACTGGAACATAGCAAACATTAACACACATTAAACCAATTGAGTAAGAACACACACACACACACATATATATATATATATATATATATTTGGTGATCATGTATTAGAGGACTATTTTTGGGGTCCGAGCAGCAAACCACTGCAAAGTCCTATTGAAACAGACAATTGACATTTTGAATTACATTTGTACATTTTGGAGCAATTTCTGTCATTTCCAGGCATTCTATTTTAACAAGCTCCTCCTAGAAATAGATCAACTTCAAATTTGGTCAGTACACGCAGCTTCCCTTTCTTTTTGTCTTCAGGTAATGTTGAAAGACCTATTCAGGTACCTTCTCTTTCTTTGGGCATACTATAAGCGCAGTCCACACACTATAGCACATATTGTTTGTGCACAGTGTGTCCACATAAGTCTATTTTGGCATTGCGTCCCATTTGTGAATATGTGTTTAGTGTGGAGTGCTTACATATTGATAGAAATGACATGTTTGAAACACACCTGATGGAAGCTGTGAATACACATACACCCATATGTATATGTATATACACAACAATATCAATTTAGTGCAGACGTTTTGTTGAATTCAGCAAGTATTCTCAAATGAAATGTGGATTGACAGTAATATAACAGCTGCAATTGTTGAATTTACTATACAAAAGGAGCACCACACTTTAACTGTTATAGCAACAGTTAAGTAAATACTTTTTTATGTTAGCCTCATATCAACTTGTATCTAAATTCCTTTTGTTCCAGCTCTCATTTGCCTACTATTGCTGTGGGCAATGCTGTTCAACTCACAAAAATACCTATTTACTTGTTTATCTGTATGTGTAGACAAGATGCAAAAGGATCACTAACAGCACTCCTAGAACAGTACTGTAATAGTATGAAAACACCTGAAATGACATGCTTAAATTTATCTTGCCAGACACTCCAACCGGCTCAGAGAAGGCAATGTCTCATGAGGGATTAAATAAATCTTGCGAGATAAAAAACATAAATCTTGCGAGATCAAAGACAGTGTTCTTTTTGATATAATTATCAACCACTAATGTCACTGAGTGTGTTATAATGCTGCCAATGTGAGGTTCAACTGCTCTCATGCCAATTTCACTAATATGTATAACTGTGCCAGGAAAGGTTGTATGTGATATCATTTGTCAGTCAAGTGAAAAATAAGCAATGACTACATGATCTGTGATCTATTCATACCTGTTCTATTCAGTGCCAACCAAGGCCTTCATACAAGCAGCTACGCCAAGATTTAGTGTGTGAGATTAAGACTATGTTCCAAGTCCAGTTCTCTATCTAGTGCCAATTGAGAGCCTGTTACTGGTCATATGCCAAGGCAGCACTGTAGGTGGTTAGCTTTATAAATCTAGTCACTGTGAGTGTGCCAATGTGTTTGTGTTTGTGTGTGTGTGTGTGTGTGTGTGTGTGTGTGTGTGTGTGTGTGTGTGTGCATGTTAACGGCATGTGTGTGTTACGGGTATATTTCTAATTTCCTTTGAATTATTTTGACTTATGTTTTGTAGTACAAGTGTTAGTACAAGTACCACCACACACATACACATGCATGTATAAATGTAGGTTTCTGCGTGCTTGTGTGTGTTCATGAACTTCTTTATTTAGTCTTGCCAGTAATTTCTGTGTAATCTCTTCTGCCTTAGAGGCCATGACCACCCAACGGCATACGGCAAGAACATGTGATTCAGCTCTGGGGAGGATGCCCCAAACAGAGCAACAGACAGTTTGAGGAGTCTATTTTTCAGCTTTTCCACACATATATGATTCAAGGGAGTTTCAAATGGAATGATCAATCTGTGGCCAGAGAAATCTTCATCTGACATCTACTCTGCAAATCAAAGGTACTTAATCATATTTCTTCATTTTCACCCTTTTATTTATAACATTTGTACAAATCTTCAATTAAGCATGTCACAAAATAAAAAATAGAAATGAAAACATTTTACAAGCAGTGGTGAAATGATTAATTTGCATTGCATCCCTGCTTCATCAACCCCTTCAGAGAGCATATTTTTCTCATATAAACTCCAGGAGAGTGTGATATATATCAATATACTGCACAGCCCAACTTTTAAATCATTTGGAGGGTTTTCAGTTCTTTTGGTTGTATTTTTCATTCTTTGTTTGTTTTTTGGACACATGTAAAAGATACATTTTTAAATGTAAATCTGTACCATTTATAATATACTTTTTCTCTTTTTATGTCAGTGTATAGTCGATAATAATACAGTAAGTTCAATAACACACATGGTACAGGACCTACCTGGGTAGCTGCAGACAGTTGACCGAGTCTGGTGTCAGTAAATGCCCATTGTTCTGCATTTCAAACACACTGCAGTTTCTGGCCATATACTGCCAGTCCAACCAGGGCTGTTCTGTGGTGGTGCCACTCTGAAGTTCTGTTAAGACAAGTCTCCGTCTTTGGATCAGAACTGACTCAGGCAAGAGGCCGCCAAACAGAACTATGACATAGAATACCTGGAGCAGAGAAAGTACAAATTAGCATGAATATAACAGTATAGGTACACCTGTACAATGTAATCCAATCCAAAACAATAGGTATGCAATAAATCCTGCCATGATGAAGCTATAAATGTTCAGTTTTGTGTGTCAGACATTTATTCACCTCTATGTAATTTTACCATTGGCCATAATAAGAACTGTGGTTGTTTTGCATTGCAAATTTAAGATTACATTACATTGCATTCTAATGACAGGTCTTATGCAGTCGTAGTTTTGTTCGAATAGTAAAAATTTTATTTTGCTCATAAGTCATTACTCATAATCCAATTCCATTATAATGTAGGGTTTTAGTTGAAAACAGCCCTCACACAACACATAGACACATATTTAAACAAACACACACACACACACACACAAGTAGGTCCCTATAACACATAAACCGTGTGTGTGTCTGTGTGTAGGTGTGCGTGTGTGTGTTAAGTGTTATCTGCCCCACTACAGTGTGGGCTGGGACACTGGGTTACACAGCAGGGAGCGCATTAAGCCACAACCACTGTGGAAACCCCCCCCCCAACACACACTAACACACATACCCCGAACTTCAGAAAGTGTCTTTTATCTGGGGACTTGAGTTGAGCTACCACGTCAGGACAGCTCCCAAAATCCTGCCCACACTCACATACACACTTCAGAGAGAAGAGGGACGAGTCTTTTGACAGTCCCAGTACCGACAACGCCCAAATCCAGCAATCTCTCTCGCTCTCTCTCTCTCTCTCTCTCTCTCCACCCCTGTCTGTCTCTCACTGCAGTGCTTAGAAAGCAGATGAAACTACTGTCCACTGCACCTACCAGTGTAAGCAGATAAATGTTGCACAGTGTTTATTGTACCATATTAAAATACACCCTACAAAGATGGAATTTAGTTGACAGTCCAACCCAAAGTAGCTACCAATGAATGAGCAGGTAAGGAGGCTGATGCACCATTTAGATGACACAATGACCTAGAATGACATTTGCAATCTGATTGGGTCAACAAATGTTATCTGGTATTGGTTCATAACTAAGACCAGGGTTTAATGCAGATCTCATACTGCTCAGTGTAGGGTGTCAAACGTGTCCAAAGTTCTTCAAACATGTATGAACAGAATACACATTGTTTGTTGCAAGGATCAAACCCAAGACCTCACAGCTCCAGGGTGGTTTTCTAATATCTAATATATCTAAATACTAGATTTACTAGACCACTTTACCAACTGTTGGCAGTTGTGTCTTTCAGGATATTAATACTCTCATCCACAGGGTACGAGTAAGTGGTGGACTGATGTAATGATAAATTCAATTAGCTCAGTCAGTTCAGACACCACATCTCGACCTATTTGCAAATACCCCCCCAGGGATAAATAAAGCATCTATCTATCCGTCTAAATTGATGGTAGATCAGAAGAATCTAAGATACTGTAATCACTACTGCAACATTTCCGTACTAGATAACAAAAAATTAACACAGTCTTGAGAATTGTCTTTCAAACTCAACACAACTTCAAGACCAATTATATTTTATTTGGCAATTTCATTCATCATCAGATCAATTATCTGTCATTATTTTGGAATAATAACCGTTTATGTGCTTGGTTGCACGTGTGTATTATTAGATGTGTTACCTGGTATTGTCCATTAACCAAATCCACGGTGATAGTGACTCCATCATCAAGTTCTTGTGTAGTCATGATCTTAGAAAGCCACGTGGTGCCCATGTCCTGATCATTGATATAACTGAGTGGATGAGCATTAAGGTTGAGTCTTAAGACTCTGTCATTGGTTGTGTCCTCAACACCATTGGGAATGCAGTATCTGTTAATAGTGAAAGGTTTTAGGTATATTAACTATTATATTCAATTGAAATGTGAGCATATTTGTGTAGACTGAACAGTAACAATAAAGGATGAAGGTTCAGAGGTATAAATATAAATGACAAAAAGCAGGTTCATCAACATAGAAAAATATTTATAATACTGAAATGTTTAAATATACAGTTAACTATTATATAAACGCATAAGGAGTTCTTATACTATACCTCTCAACTAAAGGGTGTACTCTGGGGTGACTGGGAGGACAGCGACATTCTGACTGGACATGGAGCTCGGGCAGGAGCCCTGAGTACACCTCAACTATTTCCCTGTTAAAACAAGAAAAAACAGACTATATTTAACATATTTAATAATTAAAATGCGACAGTAAAGACAATATAATACTGTGCATAAACTGGGATAAAGATAGGACCAGTTTAAACATAGCTTACAAAAAATTAGAAAAGAAAAAAGAATACTGTTAATACAATTTAAGCTGTGATGATGAGGAGCAACAAAAATAACAGTCATGAAACAAGGCCTTATAATAAGTGAAGATAAAATCTTAATACACCTGTTGATGGGCCTTTGACTAAGCATTTAGGGCAAAGTGGAAAATCAAAGGGATAATTTGAAAACTCAATTTTTCATTTTGTCTTACCCCAATCTTGATGAGAGTCCTCACTGTGTGCAGTACATCACTGGTAAGCAAAACACTAATTGCCTTGTATTGAATTCTCAGGAAAATCCTCTGGAAGCAGTATGGATCTTAAGATGCAACGATTAGCCCCCCCCCCCCCTCTTTCCTCTTACCATCTTTCCCTTTATCACTCCATAGTGCTCCTCTTTCCTTGTTGCTTTAATCTATGAAGGTATCTATGTCTATTTCTCCTCATTTCTATCCAGTTTTCCCCTTTTTTCAATCTATTGGCCATCACTCCCCTCCTTTCCCTGTGCCAATCACAGTTCCCTTCCTTTTCTTTCACAACACTCATTTCCTTTGGTCCTTTTTTGATTAATTTATTAACTGTCTCTCTGCTTTACTCTATCCAACTCACCTGTTGGTCAGAGTGGCAGGATAAAATCTAAAATCCTGCATCCGCCCAATGAACTGATTAGACCCTAGAGAGATGAAAAGAGAGGAGAAAAAAGTATAAAGAAGGTGTTAATGGGTTTGTACTGAAGGCAGTGAGTGAGAGGATTTCACAGTATTTAGTAGATTATCTTATCAGTTTCTTGATACCAGCTAAGTGAGGCTTGCCCACAGCTGCTTATAATGGCCAGGTTCATGATACAAAGCCGAACAGGATCGACAACAGTCTACATTTCCTTCCACTAGAGAGCAGCAAGGCTTATAGGGACAAATTCATTAGCTTGGATTGAGGCTAGGGCCAAAACAGGTCTGTCTAAGGACAACCAGGTATAGCTCACTTGCCTCACTCATTTTCACTGAGGAAAATTGAGCTTCACAGGGTTCACTCATTAGTTTGTTTTTAACTGGACAGATTATTGTCTGTAGATGGAACTTTATCCAAAACCACTGTCTGTTCTAGACATATTAAAACAGATTTTATAAATTCATTATAGAATAATCTGCCAACTAATTTGTTGATTAAGCCCAAGTCTTGGAAATACTTGTGTTGACCAGTTCTAAACCTAAAAGATAATTAGCTTACTATCAAATAAGACAAAATAAAGCTAGAAATCTGGAGACTGGAGCAAGCAAATTTAAGGTATTTGTCTTGAAAAATGACGCAATCACCATAAATCCACTAATCAATAATTATTTTTTTTTTAGCTACTGTATAATTAAATGTATAAAAAACAGGAAGAGAGAACTCTCTAAAAAGGTGTCTGGCTGGTTTTGAGAAGAAAGGATCTGCAAAGAACAACCGGTGCCACATGTATCAAATATGCCAAGATGACAAAGTCTCTTCAAGCACACATAAACTGGAAGATCTCAAACATATGGGCACGATGTCCAGACAGACACGTGGGTACTGGACAGCACACAAAAAACACCATCAAGCACATGAACACAGTCAAGCCCCCAACACATCTCCAACCACAACCATACATACGTGACAATGTTGGATAGAACATAACAGACCCACACAGATGTTGATGCTGGTCCAAAGAATCTTTTAGTGTTCAACAAACTTCTGTCGAGTTTGACAACAACTCTTAGAAGACAGCTAAACATCTCTAAGCATCGACAGAACCCCTGCCATGCTGAGCTTTGTCTGAGTGTGTGTGTTTGTGTGTGTTAGAGACTTTACTGTGTCTATTCCAAAAAAACATCCTTACTTTAGGGAAAGAGAGTGTATGAGTTTGTGTACATAAATGTGTGTGTATTTGCATTTGAGAGAGGCTTTGCCATGTTTGGCCCAACTACAATGTGAGCATGTGTGTGTATTGGGGGGTTGGGGGCGTATGTGTGTGTAAAACAGAGAGAGAGTGTTATGGGATGTAAGTGTGTTAGAACAGTGTGTGGTTGTGCAGCCTAAGGCTTTGGCTCAGGATTTCTTTAGCGTGTGGAAATGGGATTATGCCTTCCTCTGAAAAGCACTCTCCCTATTGTTACTGGGATGATGCAAGGTATAAGCCTTAATTCTCTCTTCTCTGTGTAGGTCTCTGTATTCCCTCTCTGTGTTTCAGTCTCTGTCATCCGTCGCTCTCAGTTTCCTCATCTGTGTTTTTGTGTTGTTAGAACTGATGACAGTTAATACAAGCAACTAAGAGTTATATGTGATTTTTGTCTTGTTTTCTCTCTGTCCTTCACTGGCCCCATCACTCTCAAAATTTAAAATAATTGTACTATTTTTCTTTTACAATTGTAACCATTCAGAGGTAATTCCTGGTTGATTTGGTGAGACCCATGGTTACTGGTGGTTTACAGGTCCCAGGATTCTGAAGACAGCAAACGCTCCTTAAGCAACTAGTTTGTCAAAAACGTATGTATAGTGCTTTCACCCAATGTGCTTTAAGTGTATCTGTTTACAGTGCAACCAAAGCAACTTATGTTGTTTTAATGGCCTTTTACTGGCCTTTTTCCATTGTGCCATGAACAACGGTGATCTAATTTCATGCACTGCACTGCACAAGTCTACTTCTTGTTTTATTAATCCCAGCAATATTTAATCCTGATCTGTTGTCAAAAATTGACATGACCATGTTTTGTTTGCTGTCAGCACTAACTTTGGTGACAAATACGAATAATCGTGTTTCCTGTGACTGCTTCACAACAAAAGCCACTCCATGCTGCAGCATTAAGAGCTCTGACAGATATTACGGTCCCATATTGTCATGAATTTGTGACCACTCAAACTCAAGTATGATTTTAAAAATATCAACCACACTACTGCCCCAATCAGTTCTCTTACAAGTTACTAATGATCTGTTATTAATGGCACCACTTTTGAGCCAAGCAATTATGCTGTCTTTATCCAACTTTAAAAAATGTAAAGGTCCAGTGTGTAACATTTAGGAGGACTTATTGGGAGGAATGCAATATAATATTCATAGGTATGTTCCCATCAGAGTACAATAAACATAAAAATAAGAACTGTTTGTTTGTTACCTTAGAATGAGACGGTTTTATCTACAGATAGAGCGGGTCCTCTTCCATGGAGGCCGCCATGTTGAACCGCAATGTTTCTATAGTAGCTCAGAACAGCTCTAGTTAGGGCCTTTTGCTTTTTTTCACAAGTTTGACAGCCACCATAGTTTCTCCTATATGTTTGCAAGGGGAGGGTGAGGCAAGGGGTATTCAGTTAGTTACAATCAGCAACCTCACCCCTAGACGCCAGTAAATCCTACATACTGGTCCTTTAAAGCTCTGCTCAACAACTTCTTGCTGTACTTGACAGACACACAGTTTTCAGTTAGCAGGGTCCCCTCCAAAAAGCAGACATAGTTGTTAATCAATACATCTGATCAGCATTCGCTTAATCAATCCACTGATCAGAATTCCAGACACAGCCCCCGGGTTCAACAACCACACACACACACACACACACACACACACACACACACACACACACACACACACACACACACACACACACTCTCCCCCGAGCCAATCACTTGTATTGATCACCACCACTGATGTGATCTTCAGCTGATCAGATGCTACCTGCCGTGAACTAGGGATCAATGCCTGATAAACGAGAAGAAAAACACTCGTTTATCACCCTGGAGATGAACGGATATCATTTTTCTCTCAATTTCTCTCCTATTGACTCTGAGAAGGCTCCCAGGCACCACCAATCAATCACAGGTGTGTAGTTGAAGGAGGATAAAGGCTGGGAGGAAAGTAAAGGTGGAGTGGTCATTGACACCATATTTAGATATACAGACAAGATAAACAAAGAGGTAATCTTTCTGCACTTAAAGGAAAAAACAGACGGTGGTCCCTGTTAAGGAGGAAAATTGTAAATGAGGTTGATTTGAGTGTTCTGCTGTTGTTTTAAACCTTTTCAAACATTGACTGGTTCTTGATGATTCCTGGGCTGGTAGTATGGGAACTTCATTATTTTGTTGTATTATGTTACTTTTGAGATATTTGGTGCGGTACCACTGAGGAATCAAAGTATCTGGGAAATCTGGATCTAAATATAATATAATATATATATATAATATATAAACAAAAAATCACCATTGGAGCTGAGTCCCACCCACATGGCTCCATCCTCGCTGATATCAGAGAGCCTGGCAGTCAAAGGTTGTGTGTCGAATGGTGTCCCATCCTCCTCAAGCCCATCTAGGAATAGACTCACACGTCTGTCATGAACCTGAAAGTCAGTCAGAGTGAGATATAAGTCGGCGTCGACAAGCAAGAACTTTTTATTTACTGTGTATATTTCCAACTTTATACAGTGAATAGTCAATATTCTCTGTGGGAGCAAATTTTAAAGAAAGTGTCATTAAATTGTGAATGCTACACTATGTCAATCAATCAGAATTAACCACATCAAACAATACATCACTTTGTTTCCCTTTTCAGAGTAGCTTGAACATTTAATTAGGTTGAGGAAAGCCCAAGCATATTATGATTCATTTTTTTCTGAAAAAAAACAAACAAATAAACAGCATAGTAACAAAGTAACAAAATATGTACCTTTTTACAGTACAACGATGATCAATTATTAAATCAACATGTATATATGCATGATTGGATACCACTAACAGTCTCCAAGCACCAGTGGAACCTACATACGTGTAAGGGAGGGGCCTGAGGGGCAGCTGCAGCAGTAACAGCCTAGCAGCAGGTTACGGCTCTAACACACAACGTCTCAGGCAGAGTGGCAGCTGCTCTTTGTGTGCATATGTGCATCTATCTACAAAAGTATATGCACACACCATTGGTGTGTTTTTCCATATCTATGCATGTGGGTATGTGTGTGTGTGAGTGTGACCATGTGTGTGTGAATTATACATACAGCTAATCTTCCAGCTCATTTCCCCAGTAGCAGAAAGAGCCTCAGGCTAAACTGCCTCAGCCACAAATTAGCTTTCTGTTTGACCAAAAATCTCCTCTCCACTCCTTTCTGCTGCATGAATATTAAAAACTGCACAGCAGACAACACCGTCAAAGCAGGAGCAACTGCCTCTCACTTCAAACCCAGGTAAAAAGAATATAAGAGGGGCTCACCCCACCCACAAAAAAAAAAAAACTTAACGTGCCCTGTCCTACTTTCTCCCTTTACCCCATCTCCATCTGTTTGGGAAACACACTGTGGGACAACTGATAAACATGAGTCTCCCTGTCTTACTAAATTCTCCTTCTCCTTCTTCATCTTTCCTGCCTCTCTCCTGCTCTGGTCCTCCTTGCTTTGTCCTTCCTCACGAGGTCATTTGATTCCTTCACCTTTTTTCCGTATTCATTTTTTTCATTCTCATTCTCATTTCATTCTCTCCCTATTTTTCATAACCATCTTTACTTTCTCTTCCCTCTCAGTCGACAACTTCCCCCTCTCATCTCTCTTCCTGTCTCTTTCCCTCATGTTTATCTTGCCCTGTCGCTCTCACTTGTTGTCAGCTCTTTAGGGAAGTTGAAAAGGTGTGAGGAGGGAAATAAGTCCAAGTCAAAAACGCCTTTAGGGGATGAAGGCAGGCCCAGACAAGTGTCTGCCTCTCAGAGGATAGTTAAGACGCCCAGACAGACACTTTCATGATGGCTGATTGAAGACTGGCAAGCGCATGAGGGCAGAAGAGAGAGCGCAGGAGAGAATAAGAGTAGAAAAAAAGGAAAGCGAAAAAAAGAGACAGGAGGGAGAAAAAGAAAAGTCAGAGAGCGGGTGTAAGAGAGGGAGCTAGAAGAAGGGCCCTCTTTAGGAATCTCTAAGCCAGAGCTGTGTGACTCTTGGGGAGATGTGAGGCAGTTGTCAGGCCTGATGTAAATGAATCCTGAAGCGCTTCATCCTCCTTAGCCGCCACGCGCCCTTTTGAAACACAGCCAATTCCCCTTTGTTAGCTTTCACAAACACTTTCCCTCCGTTTTTCCCTTTCCCCATCCATCTGTATTTTTACCTCCTCCTTTCCGCTACCTCTCTTTGTCTCTTTTAGCCAGTGTAACTTCAGAGTTCTTTGAGAACAGAGGAAAAAAAGAAGAAAAGGAGTTAGATAATACTTCACTCTTCATAACTATTCTCCTTTGGACTGTGGCCACCAAGTCCAGAGAAAAGGAAATTACTACTTTAAACTGTACCTATCTGCTTCCCTTTTCTTTTTTTTCTTTTTTTCTTTTTTTTTACAAAGAATATGCATTTTGTGTAATGATGGTTTAAGGTACCATCATTGTATTCTTCAGGTATACACTGAGCTAGAAATCACAAGTAGTGATCACTAACTGCAGTTAATTATGTGATTAATAATTGTGTAATTTGGCAATATATCATGTAAGTGTCTGCTAAATTTTCAATACCAATGAATGGTGTTACATCAATTTATTTAATTCTACATGCCCAATAATAATCTATATAATGTGCAAGGTGCACCCATGACACCAAAGCTTAAGTTAAATCTTGCTTCAACAGTTGTGATTGCAATATCTAAAAAGTAAAATCTTAAGATAAAAAGTCCATAATAATTCCATAATCATGCAAACCTAGGCTACAGGACAGTAATTACATACACACCTGTTCTGGTGTTTATTTTTTTCTGCTGTTTTGCCCTTCTTTCTAGCAAACTCACTGATATTACAATCTGAATTTGACACTCTGTCACGTTACGATTGAAGCTAAAACTGGAAGGGAAGACGGATTCAGCAAGGTTCAATCCTGGGTCAGCTTGGATATTGAATCTAAACCCTGCACCACTTGTGCTCCCTGCCACCATTCATGGCTCCATTAGTACCTGGCCTGGTTGCCTATGGTCCTTCAACATTCCTGCAAAGCCACAATTTATCCTAAAACTAACAACAGGCCCTAACAGCATTTTTACATGACATTTTTCTACATTGTATCATATTATGTCAATTTCAGCTACAGTTATTTGATGACTTTTCTGTTCTGTGATAGTTATAAACTGGTCAATTTACCTTATCGTCACCTATAGGGAGTGCTACAGGTGTTTTACCTGACTATCAAATGAAATGTACTGTAAAATATTTTATTTCTTCTTCTTCAAGTTTCATTGTTTTCCTTTCCTTATTAAACAATTTCCTTCAACTGTGTTCCTAAAGGTTTCTGTGCTCTTAGGGAGTTTCAAGCACCCTTTCCCTGTGCAAAGCCCACCCCACTGGCAATGTTACCACCTAAGCCTCTCTAAAAGCCCAGGGAAACCCTGAGTGGGAAAGCTTTTAGTGATCTGTAGACTGGCATTTTGACTAAAGCTCTTCTCGATTTTCACACTCCTGCCAAGCCATGGCTCAGTACACAGTGTGGACAGCAGTGTTTCTTCTAAACTCACTTTGTAGCTGTGGGCCACAAAAGTAAGAGGTGGTAGAGAAAATATGAATAAATATTAGTTTAAGTAATTTAAGTACTTGAAATAAAGTTGTCACTTTAGTTGCTTTTGTAACCAGCATGCAAAAAAAAACAAAACAAACAGCTGTATGGAAGTATCTTACATATTAAAAATGTATTGCTCTCTAAAGGTTATAAATTAAATTTCAGCTTTTAAACCTTGTATACATCACTTACTAGAATTCTGCATTATGTATAACTAATGTATGACTAATGTATGCCAGATTACCTGCTTTATTAAAATAGGATAGTTTGTACATAGGAGAGATAGATTGCTAACAGCTAACCACAAGAATAGGTATGGTAAAGAATTAGGTGTCTGTGGGCTACAGCGACAATTCCTGATGACCTGGGTAATTTCCCATGAATCACTACCATATGGAAGACATGACAGAATATTCTGTCTGTGTCATTTGAAAGTTAAATTCTCAGCAATGTAAGCAGATATATAGCTTTCACATACACATAGAACTGTTTGGCTGTCACAGCCTGTAAGCTGTTATTTCAAAAACTCCGTTTGGGAGCAAATAACTCGTTGTTGCCATAATAAAAATGTAGGGGCATTTCAGATAGACAGCTGTCACGCTGTAGCCGCAGACTAAAGCTTTTCAATTCATCATGGTACATGATAACCACAGCACACAGAAATGTACCTAAATAATTGTCATTACCCTAAATTGCTAGGTGTTATCCAAACATCTGACATGTTGCAGACTTAACAAATACAACATTTTCTATACATGGAAAAGAGCTATCTTGACAGCCTGAGGTCAAAGTAGGGACCTAAAGTATGACTTATGCTGGCAACCACTAGATACATATTTTACTGCTGTCCTATTAGTCTGTTAAGTGCTTAAGTATCGCAAGGCTCTACGCAGGAGCTTAATGTTAAGTGTGCTGTTTGTGGCTATGTGTATGGATGCAACACACCAGTTTACACACACTGTGCTGTCCATGTGTGACCTTTCTCACAGAAGACGCCATTTCTCCCATCACACATATTTTTCTCACTCACTTCATTCTGATCAGCTCCTCTGCTCTTCTCTAAAAATTACATTTTTATTGACACAACAGAACAAATTGAATCAGTTGGCATAGAAAAAGGAGAGCAAAACAATTAAGGCAATGTTCTCAGTTCTCTTTCTGTCTAGTCCACCCCTTTATCCCTTCTTCTCACATTCTCTATCCCCTTGTTCGTTTCTCTTTCCTCTCTTGTTAGATACTTCAGTCAATTTCTGTTTGTCTTTCCTCTCATCACTGGCTTTTCTGTCTATTCTGTACATACAACACTTACTGCACGTCTGTCCATCTTGAAAGAGGGATCCCACCTCTGTTGCTTTTCCTGAAGTTGCTCCTATTTTTGCCCTGTACGTTTTCCCTTATCAAAAGTAAGTATCTAAGGATAGAGAGTGTCCTGTGTTATGCAGATTGTAAAGCCCTTTATGACAACATTCAATAAAATTAACTTTTCATCATCTTTTAATCCATTTCCTCTTCTCTAACATCCTAGACTCACAGTTGCTCTACTCCTCCTCTTTAAATCTTCCATCTTTACTTTTCACACCCCCATCCTCCCAGCTCGAACTCCACTCAACCATCTTTTGTTTTCTTTTCTCAAAGCTTCCCCTCTCTTGTTGCTCCTCTCATGCTTGTCTGCTCTTCCTCACCTATCTCTTCCTCTCCTTTTAACCTCCTCTAATCCCTGACTCCCCGTCTCTGCCCCCACGCGTCCCAGCCTCACCAAACTCTCTCCACGCAACCGCTCTCCTCCGGATGTGTTGCCCTGTGACTGACATGCCACTCACTGATAACACACCTCATTCCAC